GTTTCTTCGAGTCCGGCGTTGAAGCGCGAAGCTCACACAGATAAAATCCGAAGAGAATAAAGAATGCGACTTTGAGACAGTCAGTGCCCCTCGATGAGTGGACTTTTGAGTGGATGGCGGTTTTTGGGCGGGTTCACACGCAGGAGTCCACCCTCGGATGATGTCCCGCTTTGGCAGAAAGTTGTCGAAGTCACTTGAAGTGCAGCTCCCTGTCTTTTTTTATTTTTTGATAATCTGAAGACTAGGGGGTATGGGATCAGATTAGAGTAATACAATCGAATAGTGACAAGTCAAGAAACAGCAGGGGCAAGGGCTCATATGAAGACGGGGTATGAGATGGCAAGGCTTCCGGTTTGGGACAAGCGCTGTTACGGTATTTACCCACGTGACCTATTTTCCTTAGCGGATCTTGGCCCCGAGCCCTTTATATTTCGTCTAGCACTATTTGTAGATCTTTGACTATCACGGTGGGAACTAAATGCGTATATAGATATATATCAAATATAAGCAACGTTAAGAATGTTCTCTACTACACACCGCTTGCAGGATGCGAACGTCATGATCGGTAATGTACCGAGTTACCTAAACCGGCTAGTGTGTATCTTATGACTAATTTGGCCGGGACCCCGGGGCCTATAGGTAAAGGCCGACATGACCCCCCGAATCGATGATGATATTATATTGAGGATACGTATCTTTCTAAACAAGTAGTATTGGATGACGTTACAATAATGGGGGATATCTTTACTCCATCCGAGAATGATATTCATACGTAAGTGGAGATACCTAACAACACATCCTGTCAACACCGAGCTTTTCTCCCATGGTAGTAAAAAAAGATTATCCACTTTCTACACATCTTGGGAATGTGAGTTGATCATATAAAGAGAGGCGCTGAATAAACTCTCAGATACCCTGTAAAATCCGGGGTCATCTGCAAGGGGTGATCTCAGATAAGAGATCTGAGCGGATTCGCCTCACATTTTAACACCTTTTTAACGGGTTTTGTTACTCACAATATAGTACTCTATAATCTATCTATGCTAGAGCCCCCTCCCCTATTCTCCAGATCTCAAAAGATCCGATCAGGCTTGAAAACTATCTAAAGAATTCTCAAGTTTCAGTCAGAACGGGGTCTTGGCTTTGGCGCTAGAAACGCGGCAGAAGCAATTGGGCCGTTCTACCTCTTTAGCGCCGAGTACACCGCCTTTCTTATTCCTCAAGTTTGGGCCTCTTTTTCAGACAATATTATTGTTGAATTATTACGGAGTACATCCTCTATACCTGGGTAATATACTATGTATATTATAATATGATATTTACCCGCGTACTCCGAGCATGAAACTTCCGAGGTTCGGAGTCCGCTCATGTCCGTTATATTGAAATACCGAGCTACATATATGTATTGTACAATACAGTCTTCGGGTCGGGATTATTTCGGGTCAAGATTATCGCCACGACTTCAGAGCAACCTATTTGTGTATTTTCAAACGGTAATTAACTATCACAAGGACATTCTTAATGGTTCCTCCGTATTGTGTGGGTCGTGTTTCATAAGTTGTCGGCACCTTATATAACCCGTTGTATGATGCGTCTTTTGAATGGTATGATGTGTAAGAACTTGGTCTCGATTCAAAGGTGTCCCGGCTCAAAGGTTCCCTTCAGTCCTTAGGTATTCAATAGCCCTGAGAATTATCATAGAACCCGTGTTAAGGATACTCTCTCCCGCACTCTTATTAACGATTACAGCGTGTAATTTTCTTGATCTGCAGTCAGATTCACGCTGATGTGGCCGAATTTCTTTCAACACCCTTGTCTAGGAATCGCGGGGTCGACAGTGGCTAAGAATAGCATCTTTCTTGCCAAGGTGCGCGATACGAGATAACAGTATTGGGATGGCAACATCACATACGTTCTCAAGTCACTTGATAATAGTTGACTTGATTTATAGAGAGAAATGGGTGAATTCTCCATATCCCTCCAGTAGTCTGGGAATAACGTCAAAGTCAAATATACATGTCAAGATTCTGCCCTAGGCGCTGGCAAAAACTGCCATTAAAGGTTTAGCTTGAAAGTGATCCTTCAGATTAATAGTCACATTTAATTAGCGTGAAACATATTTTCCCCTGGGATGCTTCGTAGCTCCTGCTAGTGCAGTCAAATCATCTAAGACACCCCAAGCTAACATGTAGCTAAAGTGACCATCAACCCCACATGGCATCCTACAGGCGTCTGATTCACAAAAAAGTGCATCTTAACTCTTATAAGTCATATAGAAATACTCCTCGTCCAAAAAGCCCATAGTAATCGAAATCCATTCTAGCTTCCACGCGTCAGCAACACTAAAGGAACTAATTCTCATGCGCGCGCTCTTCTCTCTAACAAACCCCCGTTATCGCATATATGCAGACTCGGATGAAATGATGTTAACATATTATACCATGGTGTCTCAGCACTTCTAGTCACTTTTTTTGCGAGTATATTACTCTATCCATGGAGTTTCCCCTGGACTTAGCGTACCGGCCCATGTTATAATCTGTGGACATGAAGCTGAATCGTCTGGTAATCGTCTGGTGTTTCCAATGACCAAGAGAGCTATACTTGTATTGTTCATTTTTGCTATGAAACTCGTGAGGGCCATGGATATACATACAGGCAGTGAGAGAGTGTGACGGGTATAGTGGTTTCTTTTGGGACTATCTCGACACGGATTTATTTTTTTTTTTGCACGGAAAATGATTCACTCTATGACTATTATAAAACTTGATATATATCGATACAATCTAGTTTTTTGAGGAGGCTATATGGAAGCACGTTAGGGTACTATAAAGATAAAAGGCATCTCCGGAGCGGTTCCCCCGCATTGTCATACTGTTTCCAGCATTCTGCCGCAAACGGGAACTGATGTGACTATTCCTTTCACGAATAGACGATTGGAAGTAGAAGACGAATTCGATTATTGAATGCCTTCTGTCGAGTAGCAATTATTATATCCGGGATGTACTGTAGCACCATTACTACTATCTGGGCGCTGTTTCTGGGATATCCAGAAGACGGAAGTATCTTCGCAATGCGACGGACCAGTATGCTTTGAGACAAGCCCTTTTGCTACGCCAGATGTTGGGACTAGTAGCGAGCGCGATTTATATCTCTCGTAGGGGGGTAATATCTTTTTGTGTAGTATAGCTTGAACTTGTTCCTGTTTTTGCTCGTGGGGGTATGGTCTTGAGTTATAGAAATATTTCCTAGAGGAATGTGTAGTGGGGTGACAAGTGAAAGGCTTATCTAAAGGTGGAGGTTTATCTAGGTAGGAATGTGCCACATTCGAGGGTTAAGTATTTTGGTGGATTAAACGCATAATGGGGGTGTTGCAGTTGAGACGAGACCAAGGGCTAAGTCATTATTGTATATGGTACTATGCCCAGCTATCTGGTTGCTTGGTGAGAAAGGGTCTGCGAGGAGGGTCCATTACCGTAGAGTGACAGGACAGACATGGCAGATATGGGAGACTTTCTGGCGCCAACAGTTTATTCGAATCGAGTTAAAGCATATAGCATTCCAGGCCCTAGACGAGGATAAGTGAACGCAATTGGGAAGGTACTCTTAATTCTAGAAGCGTAAGACTGGTAAGCAGATGATAATAAAAAAAGATACACAATGTCCTCGGGCTATATCTTGAGACACCTTGGACAGAGCATAATCATTGCCCCTTTTTCTAAGAACCAGCCTGAAATATAATATGAACGGATAATGTCTTGACTATCTGAAGTAGGACCTAAACAAATTCAAAACAAAGTATAGTCTGGCACGAGGCCCACGGACAAAGCATATTAGGATAAAGCTAAGAGTACATGCCATTACAAACAGAACCAGTGATATTAGCAATCGGTGAGAACCTTAGTGCTAAGTATTTAGAGTACTTCTGACCGGATCCGAAAACCGACTCGGCTATTTATCCTTTTTACGGAGTCCTCGTATAACATATGTCATGTGGTCAAAATTAGTTAGTCTAATTGGACATGAGCAATTTAAAGTAAGCTGAAACTATTGAGTAGGCTAAATAGGGATCTTTCACCGGAGAAACCTGTGGGGAAGTAAATATGAGGGGTAAAAGGGGGAATAGAGAGTCTCTCACCGGGACATAAAAGAACATCCTGGAAATTGGTGGATGATATTTTTTTTGTTTTTTTCAACACAAGCCAATCTAATGCATGAAGCAATCAACGTGCAAGGAGAGTATAAAAAATAAAAATAAAAAAAGAAACAATTTTGTGGACTGATAAGCTGTCACAGTAAGATTGGCAACAAGGAGGCTTGGCAAGGTTGGTAATGTCCCAAAATAGGTGCTTTTTGGGTTGTGTACACATCCACGACGTACAACGGACACTGTTGCCTAGGCCGTGGAACATGGTCCGCGATAACTGTCCATCCCTGTCCTCCTGGCCAAGGCGGGAGTATCAGATTGCACAAGGCTTGGCGGAAAATCATCACCTTGGCAGCACTTGGCAAGCATTTAGGGACCCTCCTCGCGTCCGGCGGAGGATCCCTCTACGGAGTAGCTCCGTACAACCTTGTATTTTGGTCATGCGGGTTGGATAATATGCAAAATATAGTGGCAAAAGTGGAGTGGAAAAGAACCATGCGGATTTGAAGAGTTCATTGATTGCTAGCTTGCCGAATGGGGCAATACGTATGCTTCCCAGAAGCGAAAAAGATAGTAATGTAGACAAATTTTGAATCAAAAGCATATGGTAATTTCAAAGCGCCGAAAAGGAAGAAAGAAAAAAAAAACACCCCTATTGATTTTCCTGTCCGACCCCATCATGGGGTGGCCCAAACTTCCAGATTGGAGTCGCTCAATTGATTTGAAGGTTGCAAAAGAAAAACAGATTAGAAAAACATGATAAGCTCAATGATTTATCGGTTGCTGTGATGGTAGTTTATCGTGAAATATGGATGAGAAAAGAAGATCAAGATGACTAGGCTCGGTGATAGAGCGCCTAGTGCTGCTTCTTGCCATGACCAAGGTAGAGGAAGCCACTAGGAAGAGTGGCAGTAAGGTCATTGAGGGAGGCTGAAGAGTTGGTAGAAAGAGAGCTATTGGTGCGGGCACGGCTGACAGGAGCCAACACAGGGCTTTCCTCAATTGAGCTGGTCTCAATCTGGGACTCGTCTTCCCAGACGCGGGGATCCGGGCCAAATTCAATGGGAGACAAGACGAGGAACTTGTTGGCAGGGTTGTAGGGGCGAGACTCAGTGGCAGAGAGGACCAAGAAACGGTGGGTGGGTGTGTAGGTATACATTCTGAGAAAAGAATTTGTCCAAAGCTTTGTGTGTGAAAGAAGTAACTCGGTTAAAGACGGGATCTTTGGAGTATATGAAGATAGGGCTATAGATGGAGGAGTTTGAATGAAAGTGAGAAATCTCAGGGAATTTCAACCTGACTTATATATCCCAGACCGAGATAAGCCAAGAGGAACCTTGGAGAATGAGGGGCATGCTGTATCAATGATGGGCCCGAATCATGCCGATCCAGCGCATCCAGCACATCATCTCTGGGCCGGGGGGTAGTGGATACGCGGTCATGCAGTCAAGCCACTCCCCGCGATTATCGCCCATTAAACCCATAAAGGAGAATCCCAAACATGCTAGAGAGCTTCACATGTCTTGGCCGAAAAAAGGGGGGATAAAAGCCAAGAGTTCACTATTGACTATCACCTTTCTTTTTTTCTGAATGCTTCGACTTCGCCCCTTTTGGCTCTGGCATGGTCGCACCAGAGTCTGGGCGTGTGGGAGGCTGACGGTCATTCCCAGCAGGCCTGGCAAATATGTTGACTTGTTGACTTGGCGAATTAAGCCCTATGTCATTGCGCAATATGCTTTGCCTAGAGAACCCCGTTACCAGCCGAAACTCAAGGACCTCGGAAGATCAACAGCCAGGATGAGGGGCTAAGATCCCAAAGCTCATGGCTTTCCACAGGCCGTATGCATCCACACCTATGCAGTATGTGTGTTAATAATGGTTTCGGGTGGGAAAGCCTTAGACATTCCGAGTTGTTTCGTCGATAGTTCTCTTCGCCAATCAATCCGACCGCTGCACGGCCGCTAGGACCACCGGTTATGCTGGGGTATTTGATTTCCCCGGCCTTTATCTCAGGGCACCCGATAGCGCACATTTTCGCTAGGAAAAAAAAAAAAAAAGAAACCACGAGAATGACATCATATTCTAATTTCCCCGGAATTGAGAATCGAGATCTGGTTAATTGCAAACTGTCTTCGGGTGATTGTCCTTCCGGGATATTAACATGTGAGTTTTAAACTGATCTGGGGAAACAAAATATAAAATAGAATTAAAAATAGAAATTAAAAATTTTGGTTTCCAAGGTTTCTGTCAAGTTTATTTAACCTTCAAACTGAACCTTGGGAACTCTGATCACGTGGTAAAACCCTCATGCAGTAAATTTCAAATAATAATGTAGGTATGTAATTTTCATTGTTTTTTTTTACAAATTTCCGTTCTTTTTTCTACTCTACAATACCTAACACAAACCAACAGCGGCAAAACAGATTGCTCAGCGATTGGTCTCGACCTGTCGATTGCGTCGCTGTGCCTTGCCGCCCCTAACCTGGCGCCTCTTTACTCGCTCGGAGTTAATATCCCGGTGGGCCGGCGGCTCAGTTGGGGGAGAGCCTCAGTCGAACCCATATGAACGCTACTGTGCCATGGCTGAGGAACTTGGTGCTTGTCACCAGTCATTAGCGCTCTAGAATCAATTGATAGGCCATCATTGATTTCTTTTTACCCTTGGCCCTGCTGCACGATCGCGCTAGATCAGACAAAGAACGCCTCTTGGCTAATATCACACTCGGCCAACGCCGACCATACTATACCACAGCACGTCTGAATTTTCTTGGCTTCGGAATTGTTCTTATTCTTTACTCGCTTAACCTCAAAACTTATTAAAAATGCCTTGTCACCATGCAGTCTTTCGCATTTTAATCGCGCACAATTTGCGGCTATCACCAACTGCGCCATAGAAATGAGCCTTATTCGCCTACACTCACAAGTCGAGACCCATTGCAATAGAGTCAATGAAGTCACCTCTTGCCATATCGAGAGTGACTTGGGGTGGAGCTTGGCTTGGAGGACCGCCTCCATTGAATTCGGTTGGTTCCTGATGCTACTTTCAGCGGTCTGCCTATCTAGCCCTACAACGCAACATCTTGAAGGTCTGGAGCCAAGACTCTGTGAGTCCTATGCGGGGTCTCAAGGTACTTCTCGGAACTACATTGAATATCCCGAGATACAGAATTCGAGAAGAGTCACCATAATCTCATCGGCCTCATACAATTAGTCACACCTCCTGCGCCGCCAGTCAAGATCATGAGAAAGCTGTGGCAGGTGCCTTCTTCAAAGTGTGCGCCATGCCTTTAGGGCTAGGTATCAGGATCATAGAGGTTTGTCAGATGGGGCAAAGCATGTTCCTGATCCACGCTTCGGCCGCAGCGTTGGCCCTATGGGGTACCACCCAGAGAGGGGTCAATGTTGGTGCTCAGAAGATGAGCCCTAACACTGGCTGCAGCGCTTTTAGAGTGATGTCAAGTGCTCCCTGCAGCCTGCGGGATTTGGAAACTGCATCGGTAGTCACGCTTAGGGCTTCGGTGGCCTTGGCCAACCCCTGCTGCTCGCGAACTCCAGATCAAAAACCGTGACTCCTCCCGGAGGCACACCACACTTTAACGGCCCACCTACCACAAACTCTGCTTTCTGTTGGTAAAAGCATATGCCCTGGATATGGCGCATGTGAATACCATGTTCATGCCCTCCATCACCTTCTCTTTGACTGCGCAATAAGTGATCACCGAGTTACTGCCTGCATATGGCGCATCTGGATGGGTGAGTTACAGCGCTTGTGGGGGGACGGAAGGACCGAACCGTTGCTGCGACGGTCAATGGTGTGTTTAATTTTTTTTTCTATTGAGTTCCGCAGTCAATTCACTTCAGTTGATGTATTCATCGAATGCTATAAAGCTGGGGATAGATCCCCTTCTTGCTTTTCATCACATCAATCAACATCTAGAGTTTGGGAACCCCTTCGAACTCAGTGGCCTTCAATTCGCAATACTCGTTTCTGAATCCTCTGCAACGGATCACTTCACTCAACCGTCAATATGTGTTCCATCTACATCTTTGAATACGCCTGTGGGTGCAAGCACCAAGAGCAGGGTGTGGTCGCCTGTGTCCATCAAGGCACTTCTAGATGTCCAGGTGTTAAGGAGCAGCCTCGCAAACGAGATAACGCTCAGTGCACTCGTCATGGTGGCTAAAGTGGCTTCTGATGTGAGTTACATCTTACATATTGAGGCGGCTGTCGCTTGCATAGGGGTTGGCTAACAAGACACTATAGGCAACTAATGCCTCGGAGGCTCGAGACCATGCATCGCTTTGTCCTACGGTCATCGCGTGATTGGCTCCCCCGCCCTGTCTGTGTCTGCTTCAAGATAGAAGAAGATACCACTGTATCACATCTGCTATTTGATGGTAACCTTATTTGTTGCCTCGCATCGGTCATTCTGGAATTTGGGTGGACACTTTTCTGTATCTGGCATTTCGGGCTGTCGTTTTGACTTTTTTTGCATTCTTTCTGTCACTATTCGCTGGTGGTTCTCTGTATTGATCTGTCTATCTACGCGTGCTCGGATCTTCCTCTCCTTAGACAATACTGTCTCGTGGACAAGTCGAGAGACCACAGAACTTGATTTTTAATACGTACTGAATGATATTATCCTGATTTTATGATATTTTTGAGTTTTTATATTGCCATTTGTCACTCGGGTCTGATTTAAATAGCCGATTGCATGCGGATTCCGATACCAAAAAGAGATATCAAACGAGGCAAAAAAAGCCACCTTTGTAGAACTGCGTGGACCAGGGTAATAGTCCCATGGCCCTAAATGATCTACTAGCTTATATAGTTGTCCATAAATCCGCTGTGTCTTGATCCTTACCTAGTGGTGACTTAAGGCAAGTGTTTCTGTTGGCAGCTCTCGTGGATGCAAATTATCTATAAGTCAACACCACAGCAGAGGGAATCTGGTGTCCTCGTGGTGTCATATCATATTCAGCATCGTCCAAGTCTAAATACGATTGATCTACGTAGAAGATCTTCGGCATGCCGCATTTTCACGAACCCAACACAACCAATGATATGGCTCATCTCCGTTGTTGGTGGCAAGAAATTTGTTGGATTATATGACCAATAATACCGGATACTTGAGATATTCTTGCGAGGTGGCTGTAACAGGGAGCATTACGTGCAAGATGGGGGCCAACGACTGGGGATGGCGCATGTTCTGCCACGCTTATCTGTTAGTTATATAGACGGAAACAAAGTCTTTAAACAGTCTAAGGCGCTCTGGATTTTTTGAATTGACGAAATACTCCCATCAGTAGGGTATGTTTGCCTTTTAAAGCATTGCAGGAACCTTTTTTTGGTCTTCCAGGGAGCACACATAACCAAGATGTCTGCCATGATCTAGCGAGGATGTGACGTTACTGTCGGTAAAGTCGGGCATATGTAAATTCCCTATTGGCGAGAATGGGATTTGGCCACGTTGTGCCTACGCGAGTCATGCATGCATCCTGTGGTGTTGATCGGATGCTAGATTGTAAGAACGAGTGCCCCCTGGGAACCCGTCACATCAAACTTACAAGGGTAAAGGCGCGTGGAAATCGGTTACGTACTCCTATCGTAGGATACAAAAGTTGAACTAAGCCCAGCTCGCAGAGGGAAGTCGTGGGAGAGGGTAACACTCCCGAATTGGTGGTCGGGATCTGGGTGGTTTCCAGGGCGAAACCTGTTACGTTGTAGACCATGCCAGTAACCTAGACGCGGCTGTGATCTCCAAGGTAGAAGGTAGGCGATAGGCTGCACAGACACCTGGGTTGCATTAGTCCCGCATTTAATTTATATCAGCTGATATTAGGTGTCAAATCGACCAATATCCATAACCCTGGGTTTGTTGGTTTGTTAATAGTTGTTTCCTGTCACAAGCCCTGTGTACCATATTTAGTATTCTACGGAGTATATCCTAGGTAAATGGGTAGATACCTACGTAGGATTGTGATTATGCCAACTCCCAACTGACGATATACGAAACCGGAGGAAGAGATCGAAATATTCCATACATGGAGTTGGCAAAATACACAGGGGTTCGCCCCACGCGCAGACCACGTCGAAGCTCTTTTCTTGGCCAATCCGCATTTCTTTTGGCGCTGTGCTCGGCTAAATCCAGCCGAACAAGTGGGGATACATAATTTACTCGAATTATCTTCGAGAGAGGGACTGGAACCTCAGTGCACCAAGTCCAGCTATGATCTCGATATCATCAACGTGTACCCAAACCTTGGCCAACACAGGATGACTTAGAAATTCAGGCGAAGACCATTCTTACGCTTCCAAATCCTCAATAATGTGGCAGCAAAAGTGTACTACACGCTAGTCTCAACTAAATCGTTGGATGTTCATCGGTATCTCGTCTAGGTCAAAGTAGCTTTCACGTGTCGCTTCCAACCTTCCAGGATTAGAAAATTAGTCGGGAGATATTCTGGTTATACAGTGGAAGTATTGGAGATTTTGTATCTTTACTAGGCTCTATATGTGTGACAATTAGACCAACATCGACAAACAACCACCTTGCAATACTAATTCACCTCTGTCTCTTTGTTTACACCCACCCACTTCATATCCCTTTATGAAAGACATTAAATTAGGACCCTTTTTCGGTTTATGTTTGGATGCCTTTTTAGATGTTTTTCTTGTGTTTCATTTCCTCCCCCCCCCCCCCTGATTTGTGTTGTACAATGGGACCTCCAGAGCATTGGACTTTTTGTACTCCCATATATCGCCTTGAGAGGAGGTACAAAATCTCTAATACTTCGGAGGCCTGTATCACCTAGGTGCACTACCAATCAAAAATGTATCAGAGGCCGGAATTATACCTTTGCTGGGAGTTGAGCTCTGATATATAGATCTCACCCGGAGGGACCTGTGAGCCCTTTCCCCAGCTTCAAAGCTGTGACCTCTTTTGATTGCTTTGACAAAATGGCCATCAACAGCTCCCCAGATCCCATGTCGCTCGTCCTCGAATAAGAGGAGAAATTAAAACAAACTGAAGAGCGTAGTCGACAGGACGAAGAGCGCACTCGCATGACTACTTTTATGGAACTCATACGCCTTTCTCACGTCTTACTCTCCCAACCGATGAGAGTCGGGGAATTATCCAAGTCAACCGCAGGGACAATACCCGCTCCCGCTGGAAAATATTGCCCGAAGCGGTTGCAACCGTGGACTGATTGTCCAGCTCAGCAGCAAGAGCTCTACGACGCTGTGTGTGGGTACCTACAATCAGAGGATGCGCCGCGGTTATTCCCGCCTCTCATCGAGTTAGAAGGCCATCACCGGCGGCTTACTAACCGGCCGGTCAACCCGTGGACTGTGAGCAAGACATAGAGCAGTCAAGTCACATTCTCCCCGTCTTCTCGGCAAGAGGCTAGAAACGACCGAAGCGCCCAGTCATGCCACGATGCGCAATTTGCACACCAACGGCGTTTACTCGGGCTGCAGACTGGTGAGGCTTTAGACGATGGTTGTCCAAACGTGACACTCCATCGACGAAGTCAAGATAATCTCAAACATCTCATCAATGCGGAAGATCTAGTGCGTTTATTGAAGATCCAACTAGATGAGAACCTTGACAGAAACTGCACGCCTTTTGGAACATGCGGGTCATGTGCCGTTCAAGCTTACACATGCTGTGTATGGTTATACGGTCGTTGGAAAGGGAACAACTAAAGGACTTTGGAAGGAAGTCTCTCGTGAAGCACAAATTTACCATATTCTTCGGAAAGTCCAAGGGTCTGCAGTACCTGTTTTCCTAGGTACAATCGATCTGGCACTGATCTACTTCCATGACACGAGAAACATTTCTCATATGCTATTTATGGGCTGGGGGTGAGAGCATAGTCAATATGGGAATGACCTCGTCACTTCGCCGGGAGGTTCAGCGGTAGACAAAAGAAATTCGGGAGCTAAGAGTTATTCACGAGGATCTTCGACGTGCAAATGTCCTTTGGAATGATGAACTCAACCGAGCATTGATTATTAACTTTCACCAGTCTAAATTGGATCCTCGACCATCAAAATCGCGAGCGAAGAGAAAATCGTATCGGACAGAGTCACCGGATGGAAAGCGTTTACGGGTGTTGTGAAATGTCCTTACCATTATATAGTAATAGCACATAGTGCATAATGCATAATTCTACCCGCACTTGAACACTACTTTCAGTCTCCGACATCGATACGTCAACTGGCCGGTGGGTATGTCATATATCACGTGGTGATACTTGTCACGAGCTCTCCCCAACCTCCGATTTCTCCAACAAACATCAAGAGTTATAGTGTTGCATATGTGATGTCAATTGAACTCGACTGGGCAGCTGCCACCTCTGGCCCGGACGGGGAAGCCCTGGCGGAGCGAATCCGGTCGTTCGTACACGACAAGTTTCAAGAGATCACCCTACCGCGCTTTATTCGCTCGGTTCAGGTCCACTCCTTCGATTTCGGGACCATCGCCCCAGACCTCGAGATAAAAGACTTCTGCGAACCGTTCGCAGATTTCTACGAGGAAGATGACGACGATGCCGATACCTCCGTTGCCTCAGAGGAGCTCATGTCCGAGCTCCACGAATCCCCGTACGAAGACGACATGACCTTCAATCCTACCGCGCATAGCCTTCATAACTTTAGTCACCATCCATACCCTGGCGAAGGCTTCCAGCTATCTGCGCTTCGATCCCCACTAGGCGACCACCTTAACCCGCATTTCCTTCCCCGCGCCAGTACACCCGGGATCCCCGGCGGTACGTCAACATTAGGATACCATATGCGGTCGTTGGGCGGTCTATCAGGCACCCAGACACCCCTTGCCGCCGTAGCAGGCGGCACCTCATTTGCGAGCGGATGGTCGGATTCAGGTATGGGTGCTGGTCCCAGGTCCCAGGTAACCCGTCCTGCTGGTGCACATCACGTGGCAGAGCCAGACCTGGATACCACCAACTCCGCCTCCCGACCATCAACCGCCAACACACTCCCCACCCATCCTTCTCTTGGCCGGACCGGCAGCGGCGGGTCAAACCCGCATGCCAGTGACCCCATCGACGCGCCACAACCCTCAATAGAGATACCAGACGACCCCGCCGGAGATCAATCGTTCCCTATCCCGCCGCGCATGCGCGAGCGCCGCCCAGAGGACTTCCAGGTGCTGTGTCATGCCAAGTATGCTGGCGACGTACGCATGTCCCTGACAGCGGAGATCTTGCTTGACTACCCGATGCCCAGCTTTGTGGGGCTGCCGTTGAAGTTGAATGTCACGGGCATCACGTTTGATGGAGTTGCCGTTGTCGCGTATATCCGCAAACGAGTGCATTTCTGTTTTCTTTCTGCGGAGGACGCAGATGCCCTGCTTGGATCTGAACAGTCTCAGGGTAGCCAAAATCCCAGTGATGATGGTCGGCCCCGGTCTGGGAGCGATCAGAAGGAGAAGGATCTGAAGCGGCAGGGTGGTTTGTTACAAGAGATCCGAGTGGATAGTGAGATTGGTCGCAAGGAAGATGGGAAGCAGGTCTTGAAGAATGTTGGGAAGGTCGAGCGGTTTGTGCTCGCACAGGTTCGAAGGATCTTTGAGGAGGAGCTCGTATATCCTAGCTTTTGGACATTCTTGGTTTGAACTCTCGACTCGTGCTGTCTAGCCGTGATTAACTGATTTATATACGATGTACATTTACGAATAACTTATGATCTCCAGACGTGACAATTGTTGGTCTGGTTCTTAGCTTTGAACATACTCTAAGCCTGCAGCTATCAAGCCTCACAATAGAGCACCAGAAATTAATGAGACAATTGAGTATGAAAGGGTAAAATCGAATTGAATATGACAAGTGCTATAGAACCAGCACTATGGATCGTACCGAAAAATCATAAAGATATCTGCTAGTACATGAGAAGGAACGCAGCGAGAGAGAACTCGTACCAACTGTAGTTCCCACTCGATAGGGGGTAGTTATGCACAGTATTTAATCCAGAATGTGTCGAGTGATTTTGTTGCCGAAAGGGTTCCAACTCCCGTGATAGGGGGAAGGCCTCGATCCAAAGCAAACATAAAGATGCGCGAGTGATAGTCTATCAAAGCTTGGGCTTCGACGGTCTGAATCCAGCGGAATTGAACAATGCAACCCTTTACAGGTCTTTCTTGTCCTTCTTCTCGTTCCTATCGCCCTTTTCGTTGGAAATCTGGTCACCCAGGCTGTGGTACTCGCGGGTCAGACCCTCGCATTGCTTCTTGAGAGTCTCAATATCCCGATCCTTGGTCTCAACGAGCTCCTTAAGACGACCGATCTCGCCAACTGAGCCAGCCTCCGCGATACGGGCAGAGTCCTTTCCACCGGCCTTCTTGTCGCCCTCAAGGAGACGGACGCGGTCCTCAAGGCGGAGAGTCTCGAGAATCATGGTATAGGTGCGGTTGAGGATCAGGGAGAGGAACAGAGTGAATCCACAGAGATACATGTTGCGCTGCGAGTAGAACTTGCGGGCCTGGACCTCCATACGGTCGGTGCCGAGGTGGGCGGCTCTGTTGATGACAGTGGTTAGACGTTTTGCTGAAATATCTGAGGATTTGCTACTTACCCCATGCCGGGGCCGTCCTTAGTGAAGGCGGACAGTTCCTGCTGCACACGGTACACCCGGTTCACGGAGTCGAGGAACAAAATGAGGATAAAGATGAATGTGATCTGGAAGCAAGTTTAGCAGTCTGACCGGAAACTTCGGGTTTCATAATTGGCAATGTACCTTCAATCCATATTGGAGCTTGGCGATGATCGGGCTCTCCGAGATGAAGGCAAACAGCTTGCGCTTAATGGTGTGAGGGAGGGGTATAACGAGGGCCAAGAATACAGCCATCTCGAACACCAGGAGGAGGAACACCTAAATGAGAAAATTGTGTTAGTCCACATCGATAGGGGCAGGAACTGGAGACATGACGTTGGTAGCTTGGGGTGGGTGGATAGTTTCAGGCTGCAGGCTGCAGCGATACTTGCGCAACACCACAAGAAGCAACGGGCAAGGAACTTGTCAAACTTACAAGGGAGTAGTAGAGAGTCATTGTGCCGTGTATTATCAATCCAGCGACACTTAAATCGAAATTCTGGCCTAATCAAAAGGGGGGGGTTCGAGAGCTTCACAAATATGGCTTAGGGGAGCAATGTAAACAAAGGCAAGCAGAAATTCTGTAGTGAACAAGCACAAGCACAGAAAGACTAAAGAGAGATTGAGATCAAATAGTTGAGGCAATTGAAGGGGAGATCAAGAGACGAGGTGGTCTTATGGAAGTTTTTCAGGTTCGGAGGAAGACGTCATGGGCTCGGAGGATCTGCACGTGATGCTGTCATCAACCCTAATTAGGACACGATCTATTGCCTTCACTCTTGTTGAGACATCTTCACTTGTTTATATGGTGATTTATTTTGAAATGCTACAGCTTCTAAGGATATGTTCAACAATATTCTTGATATGTATATAACGCATAAATCTAGTATATGTCGTCATCACGAGATCTACATTGTATGTTACTGATACTGATTAAACCTATATCAACATAATTTAGTGAACATTTCTCCAAATATTCATATCTCTCGACCAAATAGAACAAAGTGATATACAATTATGTACATCGTATTCGGTGAGTCACCGGGAAAGTATTCCCCTCAAGTGGGGAAGTTTCGGCTATTAGGCCTGAAAGCTGCAGTCAAGTCTGTGAATATATAGTTACATAGACAACACTCCACATTGATCGTTTACATTTTCTCTCAAAAAAACTATGGCGTACAACAATCTGAGCACCGAAGAGATCGAAAGAGCATCCCAGCTTCTAAGTGCACAAGACAAGGCCGTCGCTCTCTTTGAGGAGATTGAACGCGATTTGATCCGACCAGGAATCACCGAAAAGACCCTAAATGCAGAAATCTATCAACTAGGACTCGATCGCTATGGCATCAAGACCCACTGGCACAAACGAGTTATCCGCAGTGGACCAAACACCTTGAGCCCATTCAACGATAACCCTCCGGATCGTATCATCCAGCCTGATGACATCCTAGTTGTTGACCTGGGCCCGGTCTTTGAAGCCTGGGAAGCCGACTTTGGGCGCACTTTCGTCCTAGGAGATGATCCAAATAAGCTGAAGCTGCGGGACGCCCTTGAGCCGATCTGGAATACAGTCAAGGCAAAATATCGCGAGAATCCAGATATGTCGGGCGACGAGCTATACAACATCTCCTGCCAGGTTGCGAAACAAGAAGGCTGGGACTTCGGCGCGGATATTGCGGGCCATCTCGTTGGGTCATTCCCTCATGAACGCATTCCGCGGGATAGAATCTCACTCTATATCACCAAGGGCAATACCGAGTCAATGGGCCTGTCGGGCCGTGATGGGTTCAAACGTCATTGGATTTTGGAAATTCATCTTCATGATCGCGCGCGCGGATTTGGTGGTTTCTACGAGCAACTCCTGACGGTCGATTAGGCTTTCTGGGGTGTTTTGATGCAAGTCACACTAGTTATCGCGGTGGAAGGTGGCCGCGTACAATGTTTTTGATGCGGCAGAAACAGTTCATCAAGAACTCCTTCCAACGCGTGAAAGACCTTGCTAAAATATCTAGACAATGCATTCGTGATGATTCTATGTACAGTTTTAGGACATGCGAGGTTTATATACAGATATTTTTTTAGCCTTCAGCCTCGTAGGAGTTCGACTTGTGCTTCGGCTCGAACTTGAAGGTGTCGGGTGCAGGACCGAGGAACATTTCACTGTAGTATCAATGGATGGTTAGTTAATGAATTAAAAAAAAGCCGGTGAAAGCAAACTTACGTGATCTTGATCCAGTCTTTGTAGTTGCCACTGCCCATTAGCGTCTCCAACTCATTCCGGCCGCGCCAAGCAGGAGGTCTGTCCTGAATGTTGGGAGGGAGGTACTCCAACAGTCCGATTGGGACATATCGATAAGTAAAGCTCAGCCATTCTAGCAGGAAGCGACGGGTCGTTCCGACACCATGCTCGTCAGAGCCCCAGGCCAGGAGACCGTACTTGACGAACTTCTCAATATAAGCCAGACGCTCAGTCGCGGATTTGTCCAAATACTGGCCGGTCTGGATTTCCTCAAAGATCCATGGCTTGATCAAAGCTCCACGAGCCACCATCACGGAGTCCACACCAGCATTTTTGACGTGGTCATCGTAGTCGGTATGCGAGTAGCAGTCGCCATTTCCGATGAAATAAGTCTTGCCACCATTGGGCATGTGGCGGGCATCCGGTTCACGGATGGTGTCGCTAAGTGCATCCTGCTTCTTGTTCAGACGCTTGATGAGAGCTGCACAGTCCGAGATGTATCCCCAGTCTGCCTGTCGGGTGTAGCGCTGCTGTCTACTACGTCCATGCAGGGTAATGGCTGCGGCACCTGGGGGGCCGAGGTCCAGAACACTAGACTCGTATCCACCGAGGACCATGCGCTCAACCAGCTTCTGGGCGGTGGGCTGGTTGTCCTTGGTTCCCATGCGGATCTTGACGGTAATCGGAATCTCCTGCGAGACAGTGTTCATGCCGCGAATAATCTTCTCCAATTTGGAGTGATGGTCAAGAAGAGCTGAGCCAGCTCCATCACGGAATACAAGTTCGATGGGGCAGCCGCAGTTCAAGTCAATAACGCGCAGGTTGGGTGTAAACTTCGACAACACCTCAGTGGCCTTAAGAGCTTGCCAAGGCTTGTTAGCAGCAATTTGGGCGCCGAACCTGGAGTCCTTGGAGTTATCATAGCCCTGAACAATATTGTCGCCCGGGATAACGGTTGGTGGTGCCATTTCCGACTCGTGCGCCTTCAACAGGGTCCACTCGGACCTTGAGCCTTGGATCAAAGGCATACTCATAGCCATCTCTGAGTATGTGAACTGCGCGCCCAGATCTCCACAAAGTCTTCGGAATGGCAAGTTGCCTTGGGTCGTGAGAGGTGCCAAAACGGGTGTCTCCGGTCCGAAGTAAATGCGACGCTTCTCTGACGGCATGAAGGGAGGCTCAAGGAACTGAGCACGGTTCTCCTGTATGTCGATCTTCGCTTGTTCGTCTGGTTCAACAAGCTCACCCTTCTCGCGGGTGGTGGATCGGGGGTGAATCGCCTTCTCTAATTCTGCAGATACTTCGGTGGCCCATTTGGTGTAGGAATCGGCCCGAGGGGTGTCCTCCCGCCTTCTCATAAGAGCGATTTTATCTTCGTTGGAAATGATGTTGACAATTCCCTCGGGTGTTGCGTTCGCCATACGAGGCCGAGCTTTCTCCATACGTTCTGCGTCCTCCAGCAGAATCAATTCCTTCTTGCCGTCCTCGGTTTCTCTCTCGGTTGAGTGCGAACCAACCATGCGACATTTCCACCCGGAATAACATTTGCCTAGGGCTTCGTAGGCGGGGCACATGTTGTTCAGGGTCGTAAGGTCCTCGCGCTTATGGTCTTTCAGATAAACACGCAAATCGTGCTCAAATCGACATTTCTCGCCATATTGGCACTCTTCGGCGGCAAACTCGTTGGCAAACATTCTCGTGCTGCAAAGGCCCTTCGCATCCTTGGATGTACCATAACTGCGATTGGTGTTCTGGCCCTTCTTCTTCTTCTTTCCTTTGTCCTTCTTGCCACCATCACGCTCATCGCGGGGAGCGGCCTCGGCGGCATCATCGGGACTAGTCTCATCTGCGGGGCGAGGCTTTGGTGTGATTTCGATACGGTACCTGAGTAGCAAAATTTAGTATTTTGTGATCGTTGAGGGTCAGCCGGACGTACTCTGCTTTGATGGGTGCCACTGCCCTATCGCGCATATCTACCTTGGCGGGTTTAGAGGGTTCCTCCAATCGTGCCTTCTTGGATGGAGGCTCGTCCACGCCCGCGGCGCCAGAATCACTTGCGGCGTCGCGCTTCGGAATTTCCATATCTGGAATAGTAACGCTGGCCTCCGAGACCTGAACCTTTGTAATTTCGGGCTCCATCGTATTTCAGGGGGAAGAACGAGATTCACTAAACTTCGCAATCGTCGTCAGGAACGTTTGGTCAAAATTTCGCATCCAGAGAATATGTTTGCACTGTTTGAATTTGATACAATTGGCTCGGTATGTTTGCGGGTCCTTTTCCTGTAAGAGGCAAGCGCAAACTCAAATCCTACCCCACTCACTGCCTCAGGCATGAGCTGAACTATTTGCGCGTTGAATCAAGACAACATCCACAATCACGACCACAACACCCGCCTCTAGACTTGCAGTCTTCAACAAGAACTAGATGCATATACCACGAAGAGTTGGATCTCCATAACTCAAATGCCCGTTGTAAGGGCCCGGAATTACCAATTATCCAACCACGGGCATACCACCAGGCTCGTGTCCACATCCAATTGTCTTGGTAGAGTGTGCTCATCTCGTCCTCAAAGCTTGAAGAGCCAGTGCCCCAGAAACTCGGATCATTCTTCCCTTTCTGTCGTAACTTAATCTCCGCTTGACAATTCCTTCGCAGCTCCTCTTCGTAGTGGAGTAGGTCGGCAAAGGCGTCACGATCATGGACCTTTGACTCTTTTTGGTCGAGATTGTATCGAAACACTTGGAGATTCCTGATACATCCTTCTCGCTCTAGACGAGCCTCTTCTGGTGTTTTGTCCCCGGTAAATATAGCATCTTGGGATCCGATAGCTCGTCGCCCTTTTCAGAGCGGGAAAGGGTATGCATACAATCACAACAGGCCATGGCAGCGCAAGGACGTCCGACGGTTCGAATTATAAATTTTCAAGAGCCTTGAATTCTCGCCGACAAGCGTAAATAGTCTGTAAGATTCCAAAAAATAGGCGAAATGGCGAGTCGTCTTTAACGGAAACCCACAGCCAGCTCAATGTACGCCTTATTATGACGCCACGCAATTATTGAGATTCACACCTTCCGTAGTACCTAGTCGAGTATCTTAATGCTAAGCTTGCTTTACAGCATGAGTACCTTGAAACAAATTCGCTAGTCTGTATCCGCTCTGGAAGTTTAGTATAAAATTGCTTTTGGAATCAGTATAACATAATATGCAAAACCCCGCTGAGGCATCAGATATGTACCTTTTGTTTTTCTTATTCTTCTCCAAAAGGAGATCAAGACTTATCAAAGATCCCCGCTGCATTGAGATCTCATCCTCTCTGGTATTACCAACTAGGAATCTTTGGCAGCCTTCTTCTCATTCTCCTTCGCCGAGCTTTTTGACCGTTAAATCATGTTTTTGTTGGTGATTGTGAGTCTGGATTTTATTCTGCTATCCAAAATTACCGCTTGTCGGGTCGTTGGTCCTTCGAGCCCTAGAGACCGCCGTAACTGCCCTACTTGCATTATTGATTTCACATAGTTGACCCCTATTTATGGATCCACGTTATCTTCGCATGTGGAGATAATGAAAGTTGATTATCATTCAATGGATGCTAAATATCAAAAAGTGACTGGCTGCAGCGATTGGACCTGATAGTGAGTGAATCTGTTTTTATGTTCCGAAGCTCTTGTCCATTGACATAGTCGTCGGGCCAAACAATTCGGCCAAGCGCTAAGAAAGTGGGGACTGTGCCCCGCTTGTACGTCGTTACTACGATGGCTAGAGTTCTTTTTTGAAGCCTACATACTCCATGTAGCCGCATACCGGCTTTGAGTTAGACGGTCCCAAGCTCTTTATGGATCAATAATGTTTCGTCAGACTGGAGGAATGAGGCTCTAAAACTTCGTCGTAGAAAGATATCACTCCTGACATCGACTGAAATTATATATGCGTGGCACAGCCTAATGCACGGGATTTCACGTCGGTTCTTTAAGGGGGGCATATCTCGCCCAAAAACTACGCCCCGAGATCAAAGCGCTAAGTGTTTTCATTCAAGAACAGCACCCTATTACACATTCGGTATGGATCAGTAGCAAACCTTTAGCAATCTAGAACTCTTAGATTTCCACATCTAAACGGCATAGGGTTCTGGACGACCTTACAGAGTTTCTATTACAGCTATAGACTATACCTATACCATCTGATGTGGCCTAGGAAAGAAGTTATTTATACTCTAGCTCACGGAAAGTCTAGATCGAGGCTCATTTAACAGGGTAGGTACATTCTATTATTTCCTATCCTTTGTATACTAATATACTAATATTTAATTCATAGAGTTATTGACTAGGACTAGATATCTATAGCACCCCTGCCAGCTATTATGCATTATCCTTATTTAATAGCCGATATTTCTAGATAGAGAAACGATGGTGTCACAGACGGCGAAAGCTTTCCTGATAATCGCCTATACCTCGAGACTTTGGTCAGGATAAAAAAGTCTTCCCAACGCAATTACATTAGAGTGTCGAAACTTCTGGCCGGGTCTAGGAAGAGGCTATTTTCCCAGTCAGCCTTCCATCTCAAAGACATCCATAAGGAATTTGTCAAGATGCACTGTCCGCGAACAGAAATTAACATCAAAGCTACGAGACTACAGCTAGATACAGTTCTTACTTTGTATCCTGACTTGGGGGACAAAGAAGGCGTCCTGGAAATCAAAAATATACTGGGAAGCAATGCTGAAAAATGAGAGGCATAAGTAATTCGGCTACTTATTGAAAAAGAACTGAATTGACGTCATTCATATAAGCAAAAGGGACACTTGCGGTTTGCTTGTTCTTAGTGTCAAAAGAACAACCTTGGAAGTCGGTCAATCCCAAATGACAAGTTTTACAGTATCGGAGATGGCGTCAATTGTTACTTTACTGTAGAAGGTCAGTGAGACAGTAGCTCAAATCTTCCCTCATGCCTGAACTGGTATTTTCAATCCACAAATACTTCATCCTCTCTCGTCAAACTTCGGAATATGCGCAAAAGCGAAGAAACCCAAACAAGAACCGTAACTCACGAACGGGGTGGTCGGGTGTTTCATGCCAAGGCGAGATCAACACAGAGGTTACCTGTCAGGTATGGAGGCGCTAAACCGCAATAGACAAAACCGACCCGAAAAGGCAATGGTGATTCCGAATGCCGTTTTATAGATTTAATCAGGACTGTTGAATAATACACTACAAAGTAATATACTAAACAGCATGTTATTCAACCTCCGGTCCTTTACCATGTATATCTTCAAGCCTACATTTCATACACTTCATCTGGGCGTGTAACTCAGTGGTAGAGTGCTCGCTTTGCATGCGAGAAGTCCGGCGTTCAATCCGCCGCTCGTCCAACTCTTTTTGCCTGCTTCGTTTGGATCTCTTTGAGCATATGAGGCCGTAATCTTGCTTAGGAATTATGCCGCCTGTTTTTTTTTTTTTTGGTCGCCGGGAGAGATTGGAAGATTAGGTCACAATGATAACCATGAAAATAACCTTGGTGCCAACCTTGGAAGCGCCCGACGTCTTCCAAGGTTTCCTTTGTTGGTGCTCCCCACCTAGGCATTCAACACTAATTCCATCTTAACAATCAATTTAGGGCTATGTATACATGTTATGTATGATTTTAGTTAATTTCATATTGGTATTGATAGGATCTTATGTATGTTGCTTTTTATGGCCTTCTCATAGTTCTATATGTTGTATTTTAGACTCAACTTTAGTGTTATAACGATCTACATAATTATTCTTCACATGTCCTAAGTTATCATACTTGAAAGATTCGTAAATTGTGCAAACCGAATTTTCCACATATAACATGTAGAGTAAAGATTATTTTCATTCAACTGATGATATCATACCTGACTCCATACATAGAAAATTGGTTGGGAGTGTATTGTATCAGACTCCAACTACTAGACCTCCATCAAATCCCTGTGCCTGAGAAAAGTAATAGCCGCGCTGATTACTGACAACAATCTTCTCGGTACCCTCCTCAATGTAACTGAAATTGAAGTGGGTGTGCCCAAATGCCCATAATTGTACTTGTGGACTCTTCCAAATCTCCTGATCTGAGAGATCGCTAGCAAAGCCCGATGACAGCGAGCTATTTACATGCCTTGGATCAACTGCCCGCTGATCCTGAGTGACTGGGCTATGATGCGTAAAAACCACGATCTTACGATGAGGCTCAGAGGAAGCAATGTGAGAAACCTCTCTATTTAACCACCCCAAGTCTGCTTCGTGAGCAGCCGTGTGATCGTCAACTGTCCAGTGCTTTATGTGGTAAAAGTCATTGACACCATAGCTGACCTGCCCCTTATGGGCCTCACTCACTCGCGAGAAGAGTGTGCAGCCCAGAACAGTCACACCTAGTGAGAGATCGTAGCGAGTCTGATCCAAGAAGACGAAAGAACCCATAGTTTCCGGATGTCCATCTTGTTCTGTAGTTGAGCGCTGACGATCAACGGACGCCGAGAATTGATGGAGGGCTTGTTTTGTCTCCTCCCAGGTTGAGTAGTATGGCTCATGGTTCCCCAATAGGAAGAAAACTATTTGGAATTGGCGCAACTGGGTTTCAATGAATGTAGTGAAGCCTGCGTCCTTGACAACTCCTATGTCACCCAGAAGGGCAAGATATGGCGCTTTCGGAGAGATTTTGAACACATCGTAGGCAGAGGGATTTTCTAGATGTAAATCTGATAATATCTGGAACGTGGACATCTGGACTGCACACTGCACAACGAATGAGGCAAGTCTTTGGTTTTGAATGGTCATGGACCTCATGGATGTCTGGGGCAATATTGACCAATTAGATACAATTTCAAACCTTGGAAAGATCCGCCAAGTGTGGCTAGGTTCTATGTGGCTGTGCTGATATAGTGTGGCGTAACACAGCCTCCTTTTGTGGACGGGTCATCAGTTATCTAAGCGCTCGGGCATGATCTCATAAGAAACCCCTCCTTGGCTGAGCCCTGAAAATAGATTCCTCTCCTCCTATTTCAACCATTCTCATTCTCTCTTGTCCTGCGAGGTATTCCCGAGCCTCTTTCTACCAGTTTAATACCATCCATTGTTACACCCGTGGACGACGTCATAACCGTGTTATCAGCACCTTAAATTGCGGGCAGCCCCCCAATTGTGACAGCAACATGGCGAGCGCAGCACACGATCCCCGACTGCTATACAGCGTCAATAATATCCGTGCTTTCCATATCCAAGATGGCGAGGAGCAAGAACTCACGCCGTCCGGCCCTCAAACCCTATCACTGCTAATGGTCCCCACCAATACCGCCACTGCTGGCCCTGGGACAGATTGGCCTGAAGATTCCCCGGAAGAGGATTTCTATCTTCACCTATACCTCCCACCTGAGCTCGATATTGCGATACCGGCAACCACACAGATATTTCACCAACCTCCCGACAGTTATCTGATTCCTCGCTGGGATATGGGGCCCGATGCTGGTGCTTTCATTCGCATCCAGTTCCCTAGCATTGGCGCAGGCCCCAGCAAAGTGTCCCAGGATGATATTGATACATTTGAATCTATCCTTGCGCAGTGCACTGCATTCCTTGAGCGCACTCCGCACCCCAAGGCCCAGGACTATACTACTTATAACCCGGCTGACTACGCACCCGGCGAGGGTTATGTTGGAACCCCAGATACAAAGAAAGCAGATACACATGGAAGAATTGTACTCGTGGATGAAGAAAACGGCAGTGTGGTTGGTGAGCTAGGGGATGGCTATAATGTAGTTGAGGATGCCGACGTGAAGCCTGGCTCTAAGAGTAAGTGCATTGAATTATGATCACCTTCAATCAGTCACTGACTACTATATCGCAAACAGGACCGGTAGGAATTGAACTTCCTGCAGAAGGTGGAGGCAACCAAGTCAGTGTCAGCAATGTCTCCGAAGAATACCTAGCGATGGCCCGGCACCCGGCGTATAAGAACTCGACACTCGTTCAGAGTTCAGCCACAGCATCTCGTCTAATCGTGACTGGGTCAACATATCTCGCAAGTGCTATCGCGAGCGGTGCGGAGAACTTCCAAAAGAGGACGCAGCCGAATGTCAAGCCTCTGAAATTCTCAGACGCTACTCACGCGCGCATCCGCAAGGTCGGCACTCTCTCTAACGGAGCAGCGGATATTTCTGCCCGTACAGTCGGGCAGGTTGGAAAGGTTGCACAGAACCTAGGTGCGTCCTTGGCACGCAAACAAGAATCGGGCCGGAAAGGCTTCGACAAGCGCAACCCACCACCAGAATACAAGCCCGGCGTGCTGAACAAATCAATGATCGCATTCTCAACCTTGGCCGACGGCATCGAGCAGAGTGCCCGAAACATGCTCTTTTCCGGGGCCAGCGCCGCCAGCTCCATGATCGACCACCGCTACGGCAATGAGGCAGGTTCCGTTGCAACCAACTTGACAGGCGGCATCAAGAACGTTGGATTGGTTTACATTGATGCCACCGGTGTCAGTCGCCGCGCGCTCCTGAAATCCGTTGCCAAGGGTATGGTTGTTGGGAAAATGCGCGACGGCCAACAGGTTGTCGTCGGTGGTGGTGACGGCGGCCATGTATCAGCTGAAGCTGTGCAGGCTGCTTCAGGCCCTTCTGGATTGAGCGCCAGGGACCCTGTTGTGCGGCGTGCGTCGCCTAACCCCACACCGCCTCCTGCATATGGTGCATCAGGAACAATGTCCCTCGACGGGACGTCAAAGTCAGGGGGTAAGCGGTAAAAGGTTGGGGGCTGGCGCCCCATGGCTATTCCAATACTCTGGGGGAACGAGATCTCGTATACGGAGATGTTTGGGTTATTTCATTTTTGAGGACTCTGGTACGACAGCATGATTTCCTATTTTTCCCAAGCTTTATAAGGCTTGTCCATTTTACCTTTTTTTTTTTTTTCTTTCGATATGTAGATAGTGAGCTCGTATATCCATAAATTTCCGACCGCATGCTATGCAGAGATCACCTTTTTGCGACTCTTTAGGAATCCTTGGACAGAATTTGGGTTCTGGCTGGGCCACAATAGGGAGAGTAGACCTTCTTTTCTGGCAATTTGTATACGGAGTACTCCATAGAGTTCACAAAATTTTTGAGGCGAGTAAGCAATGGTGTTGATAGTCATTGGACAGGATCATATGTTGCCGCTGGACGATCTATTGGATGATAGTATACAACGTTGAGTCGAAAACTGCCAACGCATCGCTTTGACAGTTGTCCACGGCCCACCTTACCCAATAAGGATAAAATGATAGTGATCCGGTCAAAGTCGAAGAGCCCCTAGACAAGAATATACTTATACAGCCTACTATCTTTTCAGTTCGGATACGTTGAGATATTTGTGAAAATGTATAAAGGAGATTGAAGAGAGCAAGGTTCGGACTATTTGGGAACCGCATATATACGGAGTACGGAGTACATATATATATTCAGTAAAATGAAATAAAAATGAAATAAAATGAAATCGAACAAGATTTGCTTAGATCGGGATCTAACCATGGTTTTTAAGTGTTTTTTTTTACCATGGTTGGATTTGTGGTTCCAGGGTTCGTAAATCCTTTTTTTTTGGTTCTAGCCCCATAGAAATGGAATATGTTCAACTTCAAGGAGGTCGGGATTTAACTGTGGACATTCAAAAGAGTTAAAAAGCCCGAATTGATTGTCAAGCTAGGGAGAACTGTACGCCATTTTTACCTTTAAACCTTTGGATCTCATAATTCAAATACAAATTTCAAATCGGTTGATCTAATATATATACCTTAAGTACTCCGTAGTGAGAAAAAAAAAAAAAAGAGATCTGAGCTTTCTCCAGGGTTGTTCGGAGAGAGGTTAATGATGACGATCGTCCTTAAGGTGTCCACTTTAGCATTCGAAACACCCCCTATTTTACTTTTTCCTCTCTTGAAACCCTCTGGCACTTTTTTGGCGCCTATTATTCTTTGTCAAATTCATCTTTAGCACCGGGACTCGAGCCCTTTTTAATACTGCAAGGGATCCGCGATATATGGTCAATTAATATCGAATTTACTCTCAATCCGCATAAGCTACTTTGTCTTTGTCTACTCCGTATAAAGAGTGAATAGTTTGTATATGTACAGAGGATAGGAAGATAGAGAAATAATATCATTTGAATTGTGTACTCTGCACTCTGTACTCTGTAGGATAAATCACTATATGTAATTAGCATTTCCATGTATCCCAAGCGGTCCAAACCACAGACCCGCCCCCAGACTAAAGACTCGTATCTCACCTCCTCTTTTCCTCCTTCACCTTCTCATCCTTTACTCTCCAGCTCTTTTTTTCTCTTTTTTCTTTTGGTTTCTTTGATTCCGTTCTTTGGGGGATATCTCTTCTTCCCCCTTTTTTCCCCGACCGGTGCTTCCCGTCTTTTTTCCTCGCCCCCTGTCCGCCCCTCCTATCTTCGACCATGTTCAACTGTTGTCGCAATTGAATCAGAGTTCTGTTGATCAGGTTCGCAATCGCGTCTGAGACATTTGCTATCGCGTTTGCTTGATTTCTTGGACATCGTGCGGCCCCAAACCCCAAGTCGTGGGTCTGGACAGAGGGGGACTGGAGAGTACTGCAGTGCAGGTATCTTGAGCTTTCCCTTTCGTTTTTCGGGAAACTTGTTGTTTTTCGACGCGTCTTTATCCTCGAAGAAGGTTGCGACCTGGTGTCCTTGGTGATATTCAACCTCCATCCGACGGTTTTTTGCGCGATTGGTCGTAAGCTAGTTTCCCCCCCCCATTCCTCCGATCGATCTCCTGCTGTCAGTTATCCAACCCCCCATTCCTGGGTAAAACGGCACATTTTTGCCGATTATCGATAAGAATCTGGGGAATAATCGAATCTAACGGATATCTCAATGCCTATAGATTGCGCTTTGAAATCGTCATCTGGCGAGTGCGACCGGTCGCCCCCGACTTTTAGCCAAACAACCCCCGGGAGGACACTGTGCTCCCTTGCGCCAATTCTACCAATCGCAATTCATACCAGAATCTTGTCAGTGCCCGCGGAAGCTGCCTCGGACAGTCACACAGCAAGTCTCTTGAGGCTTTGCACATTCATTAGAGGTATGCTATCGGCCGCGATACAAATTGCCCCCCAGCGCGTACACGTGTTTCCGCTAAACTATTCCATTTGGTGAATAGCTTGCTAATTTCCACTAGCCGTTTCTGAGGCCGGTCCCGAACAGCTTTTTTCCGGCTATGAGCACTTCTCGTCAGCAGGCCGTGTCACTCCCCGCTCATGCCCCAGCAGTATCGACCAGCACATCGTCTTCCGCCCAGAAGAATGCGCGCACAGCCTATCCCGACATGTTAGGTACACCACCGGTTCCTCCCCCGAGGACCTCTTCCACCCACCACAGTCGCCGCAGTCCAAATGGAACCTCTACCGAGAAAACGAATAGCTCCCGACAAGGCAAGAGCAGGTCTGATCGAAAAGAAAGCCGTGATCGCACCCGCGAGGACCGAAATGGCAGGCCACGGAGGCACCAGCCCGAGGAAACACCTCGGGAAGTACAACCAAGGACGGCTCCAGTCGCAAACCCCACCGAGTCGGAAATGGACAGTGCCCCTGGCCAGGGAAACTCTGTAAAAGAAACAATCACGGATATCAATTCTGTGCCGGTCAGCGACCATCTTATGGACCAGGAGAGAGAACAGGTGCGACAGGCCGGTACCGAAAATGCCTCTTCATCTGGATTCGGTGCAGCTGGGGCCGACGGTGCGGAGGAGGCTCGTGGGCCTCGAAGTCGCCACGATTACAATAATGGAAACGTGATCAAGCGCAAGGAAACTACGTTTGGGTCGTACATTCTCGGACAAACCCTCGGCGAGGGCGAGTTTGGAAAGGTTAAGCTGGGGTGGAAGCGCGATGGCAGTATCCAGGTGGCAATCAAGCTCATCCGGAGAGACACATTGGGGACCAACCCCAGCCGACTGCCCAAAATCTACCGTGAAATCGCCATTCTACGTGAGCTGGCGCACCCCAACATTGTGCGCCTTCACGAAATGGTGGAAACCGACCGTCACATTGGTATCATCATGGAATACGCCTCAGGAGGTGAACTGTTTGATTATATCCTAAATAATCGATATCTCAAGGATAATTCTGCACGCCGACTGTTTGCTCAGCTGGTTTCCGGAGTTGGTTATCTGCACAAGAAGGGTATTGTGCACCGTGATCTCAAGCTGGAGAACTTGCTACTCGATCGGAATCGCAACATCATCATCACTGACTTCGGATTCGCCAACACCTTCGACCCGGTGGATCCCCTAGACGAGGAAACCGAGTACAACTTGACCAACAAAGAATATGTGAAACGGAAGCGGCTAGACAGAATTGGTCCAAATGGGCTAAGGCGAGGTGATCTTATGCAGACCAGCTGTGGCAGTCCCTGTTATGCAGCCCCCGAGCTAGTCGTGAGCGATTCTTTGTACACAGGCCGGAAGGTGGATGTGTGGAGCTGTGGTGTGATTTTGGTAAGTTTTCCCTACAGCCATGAGCATCGGACCTTGAACTAACTTGTTTGTGAAATTTAGTACGCGATGTTGGCGGGATATCTTCCCTTCGATGATGACCCAGCGAACCCAGATGGCGACAATATCAATCTTCTGTACAAATATATTGTCACTACCCCTCTCACCTTCCCGGAATATGTCACACCGCATGCACGCGATCTTTTGAGACGGATACTAGTTCCCGATCCCAGGAAACGTGCAGACCTGTTCGAGGTTGCCCGTCACAGCTGGCTCAGCGAGTTCTCGAACATTGTCTCTCACATCACAAGCAGCACGACAAACGTCGTGGATATTGCAAACACTACCATCCCCTCTGGTAAGCACTCGCTTTCTGCAAGTGGTCAAGCTTCAAGTTACTCACATAGATCTACAGAAACCCAGAAGGAAGCACCGCCTCTCGTCCGCAGTGCCTCAGTGCGCGAACCTCCGAAGGCACATCAGAACAGTGCTCCTGCCGTTGGTGGTTTGAACCATCATGCCGGAGATGTTTCTCAAGACCCGCCGTCCGAAAAGTCCAGGACTCCCCGTGATGCCAAACGGAGGACGGTACAAGTCGAATATGTTGCTCCTCAATCACAAACGACCCGAGGAGAACCTCCGGTGGAACAGTCTGCAACACGCAGTCGAGCCCCGGCCCCATCCGAGGCCCAAGTTGCGGCTTCAGCGCAGCAGCCGACAGGGCCTACACACCAGCCTGCAGATGCACCGGCACTCAACCTCAACAAGCCACTTCCAGGTCACTTCCCGCGCTCGACCTCGGACAACGCAGCACTTACTGGGTCGCAAGCGATTGCTATGTCTCAAGGACCTCGGCCAGCCACTGGTGGATCTATGAACTCCTTTGGAAACACGGGTCGTTTGCCTTCCCGCGGCTCCTATGGACAGCCGGTGGCTCCCACTGTTACCGCAACTAACACAGAAGGCCGCCTAGCACAGCCTAAGAGCAGGCAATTTGCTCTTGCGCAGGATCCTGCGCAGGTATCGAGCACATCCATCGGTCGTCCAAGCACCCAGAACCAGCAGTTGCCTTCAACCTTCAACACGACTCCTCGACAAGAACCGCCAAAGGGTCACAAGAGATCCAATACTGTTTCCAGCCTAGGCGAGAAACTTTTCGGTCGTTCTGGTTCAATATTGGGTGGCCGTACGCAGTCTAACGCCACTCGTACAAAGCAGGACAAGCGTTACCCACCTGTCAGCATGAAGGAGCCTCTACCGAGAGAAAACTCTAGAATGTCTGTGGACTCCCGCCGCTCTATGCAGTATCCCCACAATCGCAAGACAAGCGAGTCTGGCACGGAAACCCGTCCTCGTCGATTCTCATTACTTCCACAATCCTTCTCATTCCGAGGTTTCTCTAATACTCGGGCCCAGACTCCCGAAGAAACCTCGCACATCCCTCGCCCCGTCGACCCCGGTGCCCCGCAACGCCCTGCTACCGGTCCTGCAGGTCCGGCGCAGGGTCGTTCTCGAGCGACAAGCTATGGCACTCAAGATGCCATGGGAATAGTTGACGAGGGCCCCGGCGAGGATGTTCATACCCAACCTGAGCCGCTTAGCTACGAGGCCCAGATTGATCGACAGTTTGCAGATCTGGGGTCTCAATTTGATCACCAGAGTGATTCCTTTGGAGTCCCCTCAGCTGAGCAAGTCTACCAAAACTCTGCAGACCACCCTGGTCACCAAAGCCACTCTAAGCCAAACTACTACGATGATTACAACGGCCCGTATGACAGCGTGCCTAGGCAGTCGATGCAGGTTGGTCGATCAGGACGTGGGCCGGGTGTTTTGCAGAAAAACCACCGCAAATTTGCTGACGCCTACGAATATGAGCGCGATGGGTCTCACCATTCCGGTAGCTCTGGGGCAGCACGCAAAGTCATGGACTTTTTCCGAAGACGTGCCAAGTCCCGCGCCGGTGATGACCGTTGATTTGCAAATTTGACCAATACATAAAAAGCAATATTCCATCTCAAACCAATGAGATTGGATTGATCAAGCGCTCACGCAGTTTAAGCTTTGATCTTAGAAGCAGATTCCAACCCTATCATTATGATGCTTCTTGTGAGTTGCTTGAAAGAGCAGCGAGGTTGTTTGGATACCCCGTGATACCCTGCTTTTGTCCCCTTCTTATGCATGGATTTCCTCTTCATCCGCCGGGTGTTTGATTAATTATCTAGCATGTTCTTTTTTATTTCCTTTGTCAGACTACATTTTCCTTGCTTCCTAATGTTTTGCTTTTTTTGCTGTTTTCCCGCCGTTTTTACCCCCATCTGTGATTTGCATTCCCTTCTCCTGTTACTATTATCTCTGGCTGTAAAGTGAGACCTCATTCGTGTTCTTCAGAGCATTTCATTATCCTTTTGAACCTATTTTTCGCTTCTCATTGTCCCCTCTTAGCTTCTGTTTGTTCCTTTACAGGAGGCTCTGTCAACGATAATTCAATTGTGACACTATTTACATTCTTCTGTGCATCCTTTTCTTCCTCACCTATGTCTATGTATCTTAATGCGTGACCTTTTTCTTTTAAGGTGGGATCTTTCTGGCTAGTTGTTCAGGCCTCGTTCCTGTTCTGTTGCTAGTTCTCGGTCGATTTTCCAGGACCAGTAGGGTGGTCAGTACATTGATTTTGGCTTGAAACAGCAATAATATCTCATTGCCAGGCGAAGAACTGTATATCTAACTTGAACCCTGTAGTACATGCATTGTAACATGATTGACATTGCAATATCACAGGTTATACATGACATCAAAAGGCCATATAAGTGGCCGTCAATTCCCGTAGAAGATAAATTTGCTCTCATTGCAGGGTAGTCTGTATTTTCAAATGCTCGACCTTTACCAGGTCAGCCTCTCGATTCAAGCTCTCGATCTCAGCCGTGGCAAAAGGAATGCCCTCTGCCAACCGTTTCTCCTCAGTAATCATCTCGATCTCTCCAGGGAAGTAGATTCGATCCACACCACCCATCTTCTCCGAATCAACAACCCGCTGATATAGATAATCCATCCTTCCCTTGAACTCCTCGATAGTCATAAACAAATCTGGCTTAATAGCCACCAAGAAATGGCCGACATCAGCTGGCTTTGACGGATCATATGGGTTGGTAACATGTCCAGCAAAAGCAGACCCAGAAAGAACGCCGGAGAAAACGTCCATCATAACGGACAGGGCAGACCCCTTCGGCCCACCCATAGGTAGCATAACACCCTGCAAGGCCTCAGCTGGATCATCCGTCCGCGCCCCATCCTTATCAAGTGCCCAATCCGTCGGAATCTTCTCCCCGCGCCGAAGCGCCTTATAAATCTTCCCGCGGGCCGCAATGGAAGGCGCCATATCCAAGATAAATGGCCTTCCCTCTCCAGCCGGCGCTCCACACGCAATCGGCGACACGCCCATTAGTTTCTCTTTCCCGCCCCAGACTGGGAGCGCGGGCGAGCTATTCGTAAATACAAGGGACATCATATCGGCCTCCAGCGCCTGCTGCACTAGCCACGCGGACATGCCGAAGTGATTGGAGTGCTTGACGGAGACCATCCCGATGCCGAAGGTCTGGGCCATCGAGATGGCGAGACTCATTCCCTCGTGTGCGGCTACGAAACCGAACCCGTTGTGCGCGTCGACTTGTGCGACGGCTGGCGTCACTTGGCGGATTGTTGGGACTGCGCTTGGGTCAAGGGCGTTTTGTCGAATCCGTTCCATGTAGGAGGGGATCCGGTTGCTGCCGTGTGTGTCTACGCCGCGGAGATCGGCGGATACGAGACATTTGGAGACTATTTCAGCGTGTGCTAGTGAAGTGTTGTTTGCGATGAGGATTTGCTTGACGAAGTACTGGAGGTCTGCGGGGTTGATGTTGTGCATTTCTTGGGGTTGGTTGGGTTGGTCTGGCATTTTGGAGTTGATAATTTTTTTTCTAATATTTTACCAACAGATTTGGGGTAGTTTGTGGTTTTGACTGTCTTAAGTTCTGTTGTGATTTTATAGACGGATGCGTTGCGAAAGACGGGGCGGGGCCGCACATATATGCATTTCGGAGTATTCCGATTGAGGTTTTTGTTCTACAATATATGTTGGATGTATCAAGTCTGTAATATTATATATAACAATTCGGACATAACTAACTTTATATTTCCTAGCACTCTAAAAGACTATATATCTCTAAATAACAATATTAATGTTAAATTCGTATAATGTTACCTAGCACGGAGTAGAGATACCTATACTTAATCCTAGAATGTGTGGAGGTTGAAAATTGATGAAAATTCTTGAAGTCAAAGATGGAAAGTTGAACTACTAAGCTATATAGTCTCTTACTCCTACCTTTCAGACTGGGAGTCTCAGTTAAAGGCTCAAGCCCAGCTTGTCCACGATGCTGTAGTGGCCATGGAGCACATCGCCAATCATGGCTGGATGGTAGCCTCTGTGCTTGTATTTTTCAAGCTTTTCAACCTCATTGATCCAACTGTACTCGAAGGGATGGTTCTCTGCGTCTTCGCAGCGCGATATCGTGGAGGTGAAGCTTGATTGGGGAAGCGAACCCAGTTTAACCTTCCAAAAGCGACAGACAGATGGCAATGGAGTTGAATATTGAAAGGGGTTTGACAAGAATAGGATTGAGAGTAGCTATTCTGAGGTATTGGGCCATAATAATAGCAGCGGTTGGTTGTATATTGTGGAGAGGTTCCGTCTGTTAGAAACTAAACCCAATGAGATAAGATCCTCGCGAGTTTGGCCAGGCCATATTCCGTGAATCCACGAACGTCGTGGACCTAATATTGAGCTCGACTGTCTCAAGTTCAGCTGAGGTTCTCTTATGGACGGATGGGTGTGTTGCGAAACGACGTGGAACCGCACATATGCGGTGGGGAGTACAGTTCCATCTCGGAGTCGGATTATTGAGGCTTTTATTCTATAATGAATAGACATTGTTAGATGCATGAGGACTTGATAGTGTTATTCACATTGTAAGGGGAAATCACATAGGGGAGTTCATCTCGGTTAAGTGTATACCGAAAGCCGACCACCGAGACAGGGCTAAATAGCCCCGGAATTCTCGTGCTCATAGATTTATTTCTACATACACAATTCACTAAACTGCCCATTACAAATTTGTTAAAATGTCTCTTCCACAATCCGATCATATCGTGCGAGTCAAACTGATTGACACAACAACGTATCTGACTGGAATAGCCAAGGTCTTTGTCGAGCCCGTCGTCGCCGGCCACGAGACTTTCAACTTCAATGATTTGGCATTTCTCATTGAAAATGAGCGAACTGGCAAGAAGGTCATGTTTGATCTTGGCACACGCAAGGATTATTGGAATCTTGCACCAGCAGTGCAGCGGGTATTAGGCCTGGATAGTGCCATGACAGGAATGAAGGTTGACAAAGATGTTGCTCAAATTCTTGTTGAGGGAGGAGTCAGTCTTGATACAATTGGTATTCTGTTCTTTCGTTTGTGCTGAAAACAAAACATATTGGTCGTAGCTAATGTGAACAATCGAGTTGCAGACTCGTGTATTTGGTCGCACTACCATTATGATCACTGCGGTGACATGTCACCTTTTCCCCCTCGACTTTCATCACCGTTGGAGCCGGATTCACGAAAGCAGGCTTCCTCCCCGGCTACCCCGAGAACCCCGTCTCCCCCGTTCTCGCCTCGGATTTCGAAGGTAGAGAACTCATTGAGATGAGCTTTGAAAACGGCCTGGAAATTGGAGGCTTCAGAGCTCACGACTATTTCGGAGACGGTTCGCTCTATCTGCTTGACTCTCCTGGCCACTGTGCAGGCCACCTCTCTGCATTAGCTCGCACCACCTCGTCTTCAGCAGAAGGGGGCACCTCGTTCGTATTCTTGGGTGGAGATATCTGCCACTTTGCAGGTGATTTCAGGCCATCGTCTGAAAGGCCACTACCAGATCCCGCTCCCGAATCTATTCTTGCGAGACGTCATAATCCTATTCCATGTCCATGCTCCCTCACCAGACACCACCCGAATGCGGATGACGAAGAAGCGAGACGCACTACACCTTGGTATAAGATGGCTGGGGAGTTTCCAACTGCTTATCATGACATCGACGAGGCCAGGGAATCGGTCTCTAAGATGGGGGCTTTGGACCAGAATGACGATATTTTAGTTTGTCTGGCGCATGATGCTGTTCTACTTGATGTCATGCCGATATTCAACGAAGACCCTAAGAAAGATATTAATGGGTGGAGAGAAAGAGGCTTGAAGGATAAATGTCACTGGGGTTGGCTAAGAGAGATTCCTATTGATGGAAAGCCGGCACAGATTCCTCTAGTTGAGGGATTTTGGAGAGATGGGAAGCCTTGGGATTATATGTCATTCAAGAAAACATTGACGATACCTCTCTGATTATAATTCTCTCGAGGATTGTGACCTCTTTGAATGGAAGAATGTTGTTCTATTATGACATCATCCTCGGCTGTGGTAATGTGTATCTCGGCAAAACATCTCTCCGTTGTAAAACCTTTGCCGTTGGTATATCGAACAAATATGCAACGTAGGGCTCGTGCTGTGTGCATTAGATGCCACAGTCGTAAGGTATGTTTAATGTTATGAATTTTTCATATCAAGACTAATAGCGATGAAGATCCGTTGCGACCTAGAAGGTCGACCAAGTGGCGCCTGCAGCCGTTGCGAGCACCAAGGCCATACGTGTCAGTAAGGCTACCTGATATAGGTTCCTTGAATCCCACTGACATGACAGACCTCACGTTGGACCTCGAAAGCAACGGAAAGCCCTGCGCTCATCACTTTATTCGTCAGATACATGTCTTCTGTCGCCAAGTCGAACAGTACCGGCCGTGACACAGGAAAATACAGCACAGGAAGCCACACCCTCTCCCTTTCGTCCTCTTGGCCACCGAGATATAACCTGCTTGGGACCTGGCAATGCCAACGGCTCACAACAGGCGAATTGCATTGATGGAAGTCAGCACATTCTAGACATAAGTCAAGCTTGTCGCCTTCCATCCCCCGTCGTCGCCCAAGCACTTACGGATTTCTATTTCCGTGAACTTTTCTACTTTGTCCCAGTTCTCGATCGTGGGCAATCTGAGATAGAAACCTCAACTTTACTGCAGCAATGCTTGTATTTCGCGGGAAGTACCATGCGTCAAACAGCAGGGCCAGCTGAGTGGACCACATTTGCCATTTATGGGCGGATCAAAACATTGCTCTTTCTGCACCACGATCCAATTCCTTTGAACATGCTCAGCGCCCTTTGTATTCTCAGCACCTGGCTTCCATATTCCCCCGACGCGATAGTGCTGGACAACCCGTGGCAATGGACTGGTATGGCAATCCGACTCGCGATTCAGTTGCATTTGCATGAGAATGAGACATATAGCCGATTAGAGCATCCTGGAAGAGCACGCAGAATGTGGTGGTACCTCTTTATCAACGATACTATGCAGACGGCTTGCTGTGGGCGCCCTGGAATGTTCCCCTTGAAAACGTCTGTCCCACTGCCTGTTCCCAGTGACTTCAAAAATCCCGATCTCGGATCGCGCGTGTTCTGTCAGTTAGCATATCTCTGTACAGACCTTAGGAAAGTCCTGGACCTGGCCCGAGTTGATAAAACCACACCAGAGGAGGTGTATCCACTCCTGGAGACACTGGGACTACAGAGACAAGTGTGGCCCCTCGAAATGCAACTGTTCGACACTGGATCTAGACAACCCTACAGTCGCCCTGTTGTTGAGCTCCATATATTTTACCTGGTGACTGTTATTTTGACGTGCTTCCTTGGCCGCCAGCACAACCCCTCATTGTTCAAATACGCCTCAATGACTGCTTCGTCCTGTGTCTCTCGGCTGTATGAGGAGATTCTCTATCACGAGGATGTTCGATACCTACTACCAATTCATTCTTGGGCTAACCTCATAGCTGGAATCCCCCGAGCCTTCAGCGACAGCGAGACATTAAACCAAAACCGAGATGAGGAGCTCAGAATCAGCAAACAGGTGCTGGAAATTATGAGTGAGAAGCATACGTCCGCTGCTTTTGTACTCGACAAAATCAACAGTCTCAACAATATGCGCACAGATGCATTTGCCGCCCAAGCTGATAACACGTGGGGCACTCTTCCGGTTCCTGGGCAAATGCAGCTGGCTCAGCTCTTCCCTTTTCCCTTGAGCTTTTGTCCTATGCTTGGGCTGCTAAGAACTGCGGAAACTAGTGAAAACCAACCGCCGGATGCGCTTCTCAGTTTACCCATGGATAGCAGTGATTGGCCGATAGATTGGTCTTTCTTCTTATTTGATGGTCCCATGAGCTTTTGAAATCCCAAGAAAATGATGTTGGGGAGCAAAGAGAGGAGAAGGTTGTTGGATTCTATAAACGAACGGAAGCTATCTTTATATAGGGAGGAAGCCTACGACGACTTCTAGGGACCATCGCGAACGAGATTTCTGAGTAGTTGGAGAAACTAAGAAACTGCCTATGAAGTTTGATAGTAGTACATAAAAATAGTTGGCCGTTATATCTGTTTTAATAGACCGTTTGGTTGTCCTTTTGAGATGCCTGCCTAAATATTTCCTTAGGCATAAAATCTTTTTGAGACATTCCTTCCCTTTATTAGTGCTGTAGCTAGAATGACAATAAGGATTGGCCGCAAAATTAGGCGTTAGATTGTGTCATACAGAAGGTTCATAGGACTAGGTCCGCTAGGTTGCCAGATTGCATAGCTGGATTGTAGTGCATCTGTGTCTGAATTGTAGATTGATTAAGCATTTGGCTCTTCCACAATGTCACACTCCTTAGAGTACATTCCAAACAAGTCCACAAAGCTATGGCCTTCCGAGACCAGCCATCTCGCCCACTCATCCTCCATCGGAACAAAATCCTGAGGCATGAAGTCTTGTTGCACCCCTCCACTTTGCTTAATAAAATCCATGTGAGCACATGCAGCGGAAGGAAATGGGAAGAGTTCTTCTAGGCATTCACTCGGATCCTGCAGGATACCATCACCAGATAGCCCAATAGCGTCTGTTTCCAGAAGATATCGATCTGTTGAAGCTTTGACCTCTTTCTCCAGCCGTTGAATTTTAGCCAACACCATTGTAGCTCCGCCGTATTTACCTCTCATGATTTTCATTATGGACCGTAAGATATCAATTTCCTCCTTCCGGGTTGTCTTCTTCTGTGCAGACTGTGGCTGATAGTATATCTGTGGGAGCGATGCGATCATACAAAGAAATCCATGGATAGGGAGCAAAAAGCACGTCTGCTCTCTGTAATAAATCTCTTCATAGAGCTTAGCCATGCAAGATGCCGCAACAAGTGACCGCATTGTTGTACGGCTCTGTTGGTTGACTTCATTCTGGAGGAGCTGCAGCAAAATGATTGCTGCAAAATATTTGATGAATAGCTCAGATACTAGCCGACAGAAGTCGTTTCTATCACCTTCAGAATTATAAAGGCAAAGCTCGTCGGGGAGCTCGCGCACCCAGCTGCACAGTGCCTGAGTGAGCACGAAGACTTCGTGGAAGGCGACTGGCCGCCGTTCTAGGTGAAGCTCTCCAATTTCTCCAATAATGGTACATATCTTTGTTGCGTGTATAAAAACTTGGGCTTGCACGTTTGGTACCTCAAAATCTTCTAGTGTAGGTGATCTGACAGTGAGATATCTCGAGCTGAAGGATGGTGGACGACCCCAACAGGCAACTTGTAATTGCTCGCTGTTCTGCAAATCATAGAATGTTAATTAGAGCATCTTATTGTCGGAAGTTTGGGCGATCTTACATGAAGTTGCCAGAAAATCCGACGTAGGCAATGATTTTGGGGGTTATTGGTGTAGGTCGACTCTCGGTGAAGACCCATCTGGATGGCAAGCCTTGAAGCCACTCCTGTCCAGTACCAGGGCCCATCCAAACTAATCTTATCGGGTGGCTTCACACTCCAACACGATAGGAGACACATTGTCTTCAGAGTTGCGAGATTGTCGGGCTCAAAATTTAGGTAAATGAGGGTTTTTACCTTTTCATATAGTGAATGTGAAAGCTGGAGATTTGCTGGACCATGTCTCATTAAGCTCCCAGCAAGGCAAATCCCTTGCTGCAGGAGAACAGATGAGCCTGAATCTGCGATATCCTCACGGTTGATAACAGGGTAGTTGTGGAATACATGTTCAAAAAAGACATCAGTCAGTGCTCTTCGAAGAGGAGTGACGGGTAGTACTGCCGCTTCAGTCGCGACCAGAATTGCATTTGTGATGCTCCTCGAATGAGATAGCGATTCCTCCGATATTGTCGGCTGTGTCGGAATATCACAAGCCAGAACCGAATGATCTGCAATGAATCCCGGTTGCGGCTTGGATTGGCCTTGGTCTTGTTTTGTTGCTTCGCCGTTCTGTGGTGACAGAATTCGCGGAGACTTGGCATTTGGAGGTAAGTCCTCAGCATCCACAGATGAATTGACAGGACTTAAATATTGTGGTGCAGGGTCCTCTCTTGTCCGCTTCACTCGTTTGCGCAGGCCAGTGCGCCGTCTGCGACTGCGTTAATAACCTTTAGAAATATGCTCTAGTCTTCAAAACTAACATGCAAGATTGATTGAAGCGACGACAATTGCTGCACCCATCATTCTGGCTGCCTTCCAAGTCACATTTCACCTGGTTGCTTTTAGATTCCGGTCGTAGATGACATAAAGGGTCCATACCTTTCGTTCGTGGCAATGGACGCAAACAATATGAGCCCGATCCCGAGAAAACATAATGATTAAAGATGATTTCCTCGAGACATTCAGAAACAGAGCTTCTGATATAAATAGAATCTTAAGTCCCCCGCATTTTCAAATTCCTCGGCATCCCTGCGGCATCCCCAGGGAAACCCTAGGACCGCGAGGATCCGGGGAAACACGTAATATACATTACTTCTACTCTTGTGGCGTTAAATATCATACAGCCTGTTAAATTTGTACAGAGAGATTAGGGACTTTATAGCTTGTCAATATTTGAGATCAACTCCCTAGTGCTTAGAGCGTTATGAACAAATCTAGGTATAATTAATGGCCTCTATTTGTATTATTTTGGATTAGACCGTACGGTCAATTAATTCACCCGACGGATGAACTCGATATTTGGAGTCTCGGCAAAGTTGACGGCTAAACATCAGTTTGCCGATCACCGGCTATTTAATACTGCGTTTCAAATTGTGAACATAATATTTTCATTTCAAATTATTTCCGCTCACTCATTAACTATGGCGTCCAATTCCAACACCAACAGTGTCCAGTTGTCATTTCTCACAACGGGAACGGTGCGCATTAGACCTTCCATGCGCTCGCAACCAGTCAGCAAAATTGCGATTTTTCGACGTCTCCGATCACTTTTTGACAAGACATGGACCGAGCCATTGCCAGTTGGGGTATTCCTCATTCGCCACCCTGAAGGTCTCTTCCTCATGGACACAGGGCAATCTCCATGCTGCAACGACGCTGGATATTTCCCACGACTCGCTCTATTCAATGGCCTACTAAGCGAATTCACCATTGAACGACAAGACGGTGTCCTTGAGCAACTTCACAAGCTTGGAATCAAGGCAACCGACTTGAAAGCCGTGATTCTGAGTCACCTTCACAACGACCACGCGGGTGGATTAGAGGACCTGATTGCGGAAGCACCAGATCTACCTATCTATGTCAGTCGTGAGCACTGGAATGCTTTTGGGAAGCATCCTCTTTTTGCAAGCATGGAAGGAGCAACACCAAACCATTGGCCAAAGGACTTCTCACCAAAGATTGTGGACCTGCAGGACAGACCACTTGGACCCTGGAAACAGTCTTACCCTGTCACAGAAGATGGCAAAATTGTCATCGTTGATACGTCAGGACATGTTCCTGGGCATATCAGTCTGGTGATTTACGGCGACGGAGAAGATGGACAGAGTCATGTCACATACTTCCTCCCCGGGGACGCAACATACGGATTGGACCTTTTGGACAAGGAACAGCCAGATGGTATTAACGACGACCCTATGCGTGCTTACCAAACGTTGAAGACCATCAAGCAATTTGCCAAAGAGACTGATGTGGTTGTCTTGCCTAGTCATGACATCAACACACCTCGCTTGCTTGCTGAGCGAGTAGTCTACCGACCTCGTGAGAAAGAGTGATCCTGTTTCAATGTCATAAGATTGTGACATTCGAGAAGGAAAGCTATGTACTACTATGTATATAAAGATCGGGATAATTTTGTTTTTGAGTTTCTGTAACATCAGGTAGCCTTAATAATATCCGACTAATAGTTCCATCTTTGGATTATTACAATAGGCCGTACTCGTTCGAAATGTGCTCAGGGATAAGTCTTGAACACAGCTCTCCCCTAATATCAACCTAGTTCCAACAAGCTTCCCAGACGGCCTCAAGTTTTGCCTAGTCTTCGCTTATACGGGCAAGGTGAAGATTCTAAGAAGATGGGCCGTCAAGAAATGAGAGGGTAGAAAGAAGTATAGCGATGCCCGTAATAGGAGACCCAGGACAGCTCGACCAATCACGAATGTTGCCGAATATTCGGCTAAGTGTGCAGCAACCCCCCTAATTTGAAGACTCCAAAAGTCTCGGCAAAAGAGGAGCGAAAGGATTTGGAAAGGAACAAAACAAAGAGCGTGTGGCAGGTTTTTGAGTCGCGCCAACCTATGTACAAGCGTAGTACAACATCAGATTATTTCTCTCTTTTACAGCCATAATTTTATGAACTCGATATATGCCCTACTCCAAAACAACTATGATATCTAAATCGCTCGTACATCCTGTAGAGAAAGTCCAGCGCTATAAAAACCACCCTGTTATCATCTTTCTATCGCCCGAGTGAGCATAGATGTGAGGCCCACCAAAGCGCTATCATTCTATACTCTTTTGAATGAAAAAATAAATAAATAAAAGAATAGCTATGAGTTGTCCGAAACTGGGCCAATACTTTTGACCAATATTGTAAATCACACATAAAGCCAAGGAGAAACAGAGGTGTGTCGGCACAAAGACATTTTAAGGGGACCGAGTTATTTAAATCACTGAGTGATGACCTGCCCCCTACGGCGAAGTCACACCGGCATCGCCAGAATGACAATGAATGGAGAGATCAGAAAACCAAAGAACCATTTGTAACCACCCCGGCACCTGCTAGGTCCCATCCAGAGCTGAGATATTCGTTTTAAGCATCGGCACACATGCCTTGTACCGATATACCGAGAACCGTCGCTCTTCGGTATCTACCCCTTCTACCGCGAGATTCATCGCAGAGGATTGAATTTCGTTCCCTGAAAACATAAAAGAGCTTACTCGCTGTACTAATCCCGATTTCATATTAACACCAGTCGCAACTCAAATCTTCCAGTCCCAACCTGAATATTTCCACAAACATTACAATGGCCCAAGCCCCTTCTGAAAAAGTGCTACTGGGTGCCCAGATGTCGAAGGAATTCCTCGGCGAGGAGCTTTTATCCAATCTACGGAAGGATACCGTAAGTGATCAAGAGCTCTGCAATACTGAGAAAGGTGTAGCTCACATCAATTAGAGGAGCGATATCTTCACCCAAGCGAGTCAAGAGTATATCGCTGAAGTTTGCTTCTCGAGCTACGCGCGTCCCGGCTTGAAGTTCCGTGAACGGTCATTGATGAATATTGCCATGCTCACGGCTTTGAATAGAGGGCCTGAATTGCGCATTCATATCACCGCGGGACTTCACAATGGTCTGACCGAGGAGGAGATTTGTGAAGCCTGCAGACATGCTATGATCTATTGTGGTGTCCCTGCTGGAAGAGATGCACTTGCAATTGCGAGTGAAGTTGTCAATTCTCAAAAGAATCAAAGTAATGTGTAAATAAAGCCAGAAGAATAGCGATATTTGCTCGTTTGAGATGACTGGTATCTGATTTTTTCATTTCTCATAAGCAATATGACCAAACTCACAATTATGAACTTATGCTACTCAAACAATAACAGTTAGTTCTACACATTTTTCCTTTACGAAATTCTAACATTGTGGAGGTTAAATATGAGAATCTACATAGAGGTATATCATATACAAATTAGCTTCATTTCCACGATTGTAGCAAGCGCTACCATATAAGGTCTAAACTCAAATCTTAACTAGAGTCTAATCAAGACTTTCCCCGTGGTAACTCGGGTTTCCAAGTCTTTATGGGCCTGTTCTACTTCCTCCAAAGAATAGTAGTGGCCATGCTTTTGGACGTTCCACTTTCCAGTCCTCACCATATCAAGGGCCTCATTTCCATATCGCTCGAGTCTTTCCCTTGTAGCTATATAGTTTCGCAAGGTGGGTCGCATGACAGAGATGTTCTTTGTAGTCAATCTGTCAAGGGAAAATGGCGGTACTGGACCACCTAAAGAAACCAACTCCATTAGTTATGGATGAATCCCAGGGCCTTTGCTGTACCTACTAGCACTACCAATGAAAACAACTTTGCCAAATGTCTTGACTGCAGCAAGGCTGCCCTCCCAGGTATCCTTACCAACGCCATCGTACACCTTGCACTTAATTTTAGCCCAAATCACACATTTGAATCGTTCGACTTACCACATCAACACCTTCCCCGTTTGTCAACTCTCGCACCTTCTGGGCCCAGTCCACCTCCATCCGATAGTCAATCATATGACTTGCGCCATATTTCAGTGCCAGGTCACATTTCTCCCGTCCTCCGGCAGTTCCAATTACCACCGCGCCCCGTTCACGAAGAGCCTGGCAAAGCAACAGACCCACCCCTCCTGCGGCTGCATGAACAAGGACACTGTCACCAGCTTTGACCTTAAAACCCTCGTTGATCAGCGCCAACGCTGTCATACCAGCCAAAAACACACCCGCTGCGTCCTCATCCGCGATGCCTGATGGAACCTTGATAACTTGGGTGATCGGAACTGCCGTGTACTGTGCATAACCACCTTGAAAGATCCATACCACACGGTCGCCCTTTTGGATACCGAATGGGTTGCCCTCTGGCGCTGCCTCCACAAACCCAGAAGCCTCTTGGCCTAGGATCACATTCGACCCTTGGGAGCTGGGGTAGATACCGGTTCGAAAATACACGTCGGCAAACTTTATGCTGGCAAACGTGTTTCTCACAATGACGAAGCCATCCTTCAGTTCGGGAACTGGCACATCATCTGAGAATTCGAAACCCTCAGGTCCGCCGATCTTGGATAAAATGGTCGCCTTCATATGGGTAGGGGTCGTCATGGTGAAGATGCTGTGGTCAGGTTATTTTGCACGGGTTTAACTCTGATTTTATCCTCTTGGAAACTAGCTCTGAGTTTTATGCCGAAGTTGGGCCGAGGTCACTGTCATACGACCAATACCGACTGCCGAGTCACATCCAGCGGCAACATAGAGACGTGGCCAAATGCGGTATAGAGTTCAACGTAAGAGATGGTACGCTCGCACCGTCTTCCACATCGCAGCAGAATATGGGCGATGAGACAATCACAGGGCTTCTCTTAGCCTACGGTGCTGTGGATATGAATGCTCTAGATGCTAAAGGAGTAACAGCGCTCTGCTTAGCTGCAGGTACAAAACACACAGCTATAGCAGCACAGATTCTCCTAGAAGGTCATGTAGCCGTCAACGTGACCGCCCAACCTGGCAAGACAGCTCTTCATCATAGGGCGAGAACGGGAAACATATAGCTCGCATGTGTCCCGGACCTAGATCCCAACGTTTCCGACGACTACGGATTTCCACCCCTCGCCTACGCTGCTTACAACGGGGACCTACGTATGGTGGAACTCTTCCTTGCAAGTAAAGCCATACAAGTGAACGTGCAAAAAGCCCCTCCCTTGTTCTATGCTGCTATAAAAGGTCATGTGAAAGTTGTACGCCGGTTACCTTGCTTTACGATGGACATCAATCAGCAACTTTGGAACCGCTCGCCTGTCTGTGTTGCCTCCAGATGGGCTACCTAGAGGTAGACTTCCGCACCGGCCCACAAAGCCCAAAGCCCAACCCAACCCAACCCGTAAATGGGCTGGGCTTTGGGCCCGGTCCTCGGGCCCATCGATGGGCTATGGGCCCATAGTGAAATCCCATGGGGCTTTAATATGGGCCTATTAGCCCCCAAACAATACAGATATGCCAAGTTGAACCCCCTTTTTAGGTTATTTTAATTACACTTTGTTTAGCACCGTTCCTAAGCCTTATCCCTAATGTAATACGAGGGATCCTCGTATTTGATATGAGTAGGTTTTGGGCCGAGAGGTTTTGCGGAAGCATATATGGAAGCCGACTTGGAACGACAAGCCAGAAGGGTATGCACGATCTGAAAATGTCGCTAGCGATGACTGAAATTCCTGACTTAGACTACCTCTTCTTTTAAAATTCATAGACCAAAGGGACCAACTTCTGGTTCCTTGAACAAAAGCCATATCTCAAGTGGCTTGATGAGACGGACTCCTCTTTTTGTATACTTTGGATAAATAGAGGCGCTGCGACTGGAAAATCAGTGCTTGCCTCATTTGTCATTCAACATCTCTCCAGGGCTTGACCCAAGGGCTTTGCTGTCAAGAGTGACTGTGTTCTTTCCCATCTATGGATACACCCCGACGCCCAAACGGGCAGTAGCTTTCAAACTTATTCCCCTTAACTCTCTCTCTCTCTCTCTCCATCCCCAAAGTACTCCATCATCGTTCTTTGTAATCACACAATATGAATAACGATACTCAAACCGTTTTTTCCGAATTTTCGGATCCCTACCGACGGTCGTTGATTGATCGTATCTGTGTCGCTCTCGGCAACGACAAAATCCCACGCGTGAAGGCGCTGGGTCTATGGTTCACTGACACCAAGGCCCTGGAGGTCCTTGTAGACCACGCGCGAAACCCACACATGCTTATACACATCCTGGTTGGCTTCTCCCAATACAATTTTGCGAGCATTTGTGCGTATTCACGAGGTCTATCCTGCCCTTGTGTCATTGAAATAATATCTTTTATTCAATCAGGGGCCAGTGATAGACAAGCACCTCGCCCTAGCCAACCTAGGGGACCGGAAACCAGACCCGAGGTGGGCCCACGCGGCGAGAGGAGTGCCGCTGATATCTCGAGCCGACACCCTGAGTGTGGTGATCGTGGTAGATCTAGCTCTCTGGCACAAGCCAGTACCACCGCTCGCTTGCGGTCAGAGTCCAGAATCCCGGTAGCCCAGGGCAGAGGCCAGCGAAAGAAGATACCTGGTGACCCAGTGAGTTTGTCAGGAGTATTTATTATATAACACTGCTGACCTCTTCAGTTTCGAGACCGAGGAAAGCATTTGGGTGACAGTGACAGATCGTGAGGAGGCTAGATGCGTTCTGACCCGCCGTGGAGGACCATCGCTTGAGGTAGCCCATATTATATCGAACAGGATCAATTGGACCATGCGGGACGAGCATGCTGAAAACAGCGTCTGGAATTTTCTTCGCGCCTTCTGGTCCGAAGAAAAGGTCGATGCATGGGAGAAAGCCCTGATGCCAGGTGGTGTGCTAGTGAGCACTGAACGGCTATGCAACCTGATCACGCTGGATCTCACAGCTCACGATCAATGGGACCGCGGACTCATTGCATTCCGGCCAATTTCGGTCAACGAAGAAGAAACTGAAATGCAAATCGCATTTCACTGACTTCCTTTCCGAAGCGCCACCATCGCTAGGAATGACCGAATGCGACCTGCTGCAGTCCGAGACATGGATCTAGGAACTCCACCGTACAAGAGCCCCGGGCGATTTAATTACTTTTTCGATATGGAAACTTGGGAAGTAATTAGCTCAGGGCGTGTCTTCACGGTGAGAACCAACGACAAGGAGAAACAACCATTACCTTTGATGGAACTTTTGGAGCTGAGATGGCACCTCTCCCGCATTGCTGCGATGCAGGGAGCAGATCAGGATGATGACAGTGGTGACGATTCTGACGGTGGGTCCTTTTCAGTCCCAACGGGGTCGCGATCACTCGTCAAACGAGAGGGCATGCTTCGCGAGAACGTGCCTCCTCAATCTCCCACTCGGTCAGTCTCACCCAAAAAGTTGCAAACTTTGCCTTTTTAGGGAAATCTCAGTTCCTTAACCGAAGAAGGCGATTCGTGATTGTCTTTTTCTTTCCCTTGAAGGAGTGGCGAGCTTTGGCTTTGTCTTGCTCCTGAAGGGGTGATGAGATGGTCTATTCTTGAAAGGGTGATGAGCTTCCGCTCGTCTTGTCCTTCACGGAATCACTTGTTGTTAGTGTATTCTATAAATTATATCGAGGCAAAGATTTATCCCCGATAAAGGGGAATCGGCTAAACGGTAAACGGCTAAACGCGGTAGTACTATATCCACGGTAGCTCGGGACAAATATGGGGGATCTACCGACGCCGATGTACCGAGTACGGCATCTTGGTAACGTCACACGATAGTTTTGGCCTGATACGAAACGAAAAAGCAGACTTGAAAGAATAACTGCAGATATAAAGTAGCAATAATACTACCTGTCTATCAACGTGTTTTTGATTAGAGAGCCTTCGCTTTTTATCTCTTTCTATATATATCATGACGATCGATTCAGTCAACGGATTGCAGGGTGCTAATGAGGCCTACACCGTTTTAGAAGAGCCTCTTGGATCTACTCGTCATGTGAAAATAATCACCATCGGAGCGGGTGCAAGTGGTCTGAACATGATACGCACTCTTCGCAACACACTCCCAAACACCGAGAATGTCGTTTATGAAAAGAACCCGGATATAGGTGGTACTTGGTATGAAAATAAGTATCCGGGGTGCCAATGCGACATACCATCGCATAACTACCAATTTTCCTGGGCGCCGAACCCTCAGTGGACCAAGTTTTACTCAGAGGCCCCAGAAATCCACCGTTATTTCAAAGATTTGGCAACTCGAGAAAATCTTAATGATGTTATCAAGTTGCAGCATCAGGTCGAACATGCAGAATGGAATGAAGATGATGGCCTATGGCTAGTTCGTGTGAGAGACCTTACCACCGACATAGTCAAGACCGATTCAGCTCACTTTCTTTTGGATGCTTCGGGTATTCTCAAGTAAGTCATATATGGGTGTTCAATTTCTACATAAAAGGTCGCTAATCGGTATAAAGCAACTGGAAATGGCCCGATATTCCAGGTCTGCACACATTTAAAGGCGATCTAGTCCACAGTGCCAACTGGAAAGATGACTTTTCGTACAAAGGGAAGCGTGTGGCAGTGATAGGAAATGGGTCTTCTGGTGTACAGATCGTGCCTGCTATGCAACCAGGTATGGAACTTTTCGTAGCTTGCAAGATCAACTGCTTATTCACCTAGATGTGGCAAGCCTCATTCACTTTGTTCGATCGCCCATCTGGGTGGCACCTGCGGGCGTTGACAGAATGGCTGCAACTACAGCTGGCAAAGTCGTATCGGAACTAGAACTTGACGGAGATCGTTTTACGCCAGCTCAGATGAGCAAGTTCGAGACGGACAAAGAACTCTACACCAAATTCGTCAAAGCTACAGAGGAGGTGGTCAACAATAAGTTTTCCTATGTGAGTAAATATGCAGCAACTTCATGCGCCTGGATGACTACATAATACTAACACAACAAGCAGCTTGTTACTTCATCTCCAGCAGCTGAAGTTGTGAAAGAAAGCATGACCAAGTATATGACTGAAGCCTTGAAAGGCAACCAGGCGCTTATCAGCAAGTTGATACCTGATTTTCCATTTGGATGTCGACGCATTACACCAAGCTCAGCATACTTGGATGCCTTTCACAAAGATAACGTCCAAATCGTGACCGATGGCATTGCTAAAATCAATGAAAATGGTCTCGTAACAGAACAGGGAGAGATCATTGACGTTGATGCGATAGTCTGCGCTACTGGATTCAATGTTTCATTTTGCCCTCGATTTCCAATTCTTGGAAGAAAAGGCAATCTCCAGGATATATGGACTCGAGAACTGCCATCATCCTACATGTCTCTCGCAGTGCCCGGCATGCCAAACTACTTTAGTAAGTGGATATGATTTGAGAGAAGATTAGTGCTAATTTGTAAAGTGTTTCTGGGACCAAACGCACCTATCGGACATGGTAGTGTACTGACCATCACCGAGCAAGTGGGAAAGTATATCACTCGGATTATTCGCAAGTATCAGGAGGAAGGTATCAAATCGATAACTCCGAGACAGGATATCGTGGACGAATTTGCCGAGCACATTGCGGCTTTCATGCCTCGAACCGCTTGGGCGGGAAACTGTAGTTCATGGTTCAAGAACGGGAAAAGGGATGGCCCTATTACAGCTTTGCATCCGGGAAGTCGTATTCATTGGTTCCACATGCTGCAGAGCTTCCGGGGAGAGGACTTTGAATACACGCACTGGTCCAAGAACAGATTTCGATACCTGGGTAATGGGTTTTCTTCGTTGGAGGCCCCGGGAATGAACTCGACGTGGTACTTGGACGAGCCGGACAAAATGCTCTGAATGCGTTTCTGGTATTGTTCCGTGTCTTTTGCTAGCTTGAAGATGTTAGGCTGAAATTACATGATTTGGTATATCTATGTAGCTATAATGCTACGAGCCTTTCCATTTTCCATGTTCTCGAATAAATACCTTTCGATTCTTGTTTATCAAAAATGATTATCCTTCATAAATTTACACGTTGTATGTAGAAACGGTGTTTCATAGGGTTTGAATCTTCATCGTATTCTGCATTTGATTGCTAATAAGTTCCACCCTCCACATTATAGCACCGAGAAGCTAGAATGGCATCTTCAAAGACAACAAAAATGACATCGGAGTGTTATCTCAAATTTAACATCACTAATATTGTCAAGAACAGAGATCGCATAAGGGGCCAACTATTCTTGTGATATATATAGGTGAAAAGGGCTCCCATTCCAAATCCTATCATCTTCAAAGCTGTGCTGATAAAATCAAAGCGTATAACGGTATCCTTCCAGTCCTTCTAAAACCTTCCCCTTTTTATCGGCAGCTTGATTCTCACGGTGGAAGAATGCAGTGATAAAAAGCGTTATCAGGATACAGACTACCAAGCAGACAATAGAAGCATATAGCCCAGGGCGATATCCAGGATAGTCCTGCTCCCGAAACACCAATGACCCGAAAACTCCTCCAATAGCACCCATGCTGGTCTGAAGAGGAACAGCAATCTGCCTTTTGCTCGAGCCAACAATATTGTTTGACAGGAAGGCTAACACAGTTGGGATTGCGCAGTTGTTTCCGATAACCGCGAAATATATTCCAACCATTTTGCAGGCGGTGCTATTGCCCCAACCAATCATTATCATCCCGACACAGGTCAGAAGCATGAATCCAACGATGAAAGGACTTCGAGTGTGCACACGATCCGATATTATTCCCGCTGCAATGGCAAAGATGGCGGCTGCCAGGTAGGGTGGTGTAACCAGGATCTGACTGAGGGCCACGTTATACCCCAGGCCAGCAAGAATTGATGGAGTGAAGAAAGCCATAGTATAAGAGCCGGCTGTGGGGAAGAACAGAAGACTTGCCAGTACCCATACTTTCCAGTCTCGGAGGTCCTTAAGGGCTTTGCGGAATGTGATCTTGTCATCCAATTGTTCTCCACGGTCTTCTCGTAACCTTTCCTGAACAACGTGGAGATCACTTGCACTCAGCCATGAGGCTTTCTCGGGGAAATCTGACAAGAAAAGGAAAATGGGGATGGCCAGAAAAACAGTGATCGCCCCAGGAATAATGAAAATCCAATTCCATCCTCGTCTGCCGCCGAGTCCTTCAAGTGTACTAAGTCCGTAGGAGATAATGCCGTTGAAACCCGAGATCACGGATCCTGACATGTACCAAAGGGATAGTCTCTGCTGGGTTTCATATCGCTTGTACCACGAGGATATGAGGTAGATACATGCGGGCTGGCCTATATCAGTACTGGAAAGGTATTGTATGGTGACGGATACTGACATTGAAGCCCCCCTCAAAGAGGCCTAGGATAAGACGCAATCCAACCAGTTGCGAATATTGTGTCACAAACCCCATGCACATGGCGATTGTGCCCCATGAGACTATCAGGAAAGAAAGATAATATCGGGTTCCCACCCTCCGAACGATGAAATTGCTCGGCAGCTCGCTGATCAAATAAGGACCGAAGAACACCACAAGGGCAACAGAGTAGCGATTTCCAACCAAATTCAGGTCCTCGGCCATGCCGGCTACCTTTGCGGAGGAAATGTTGGTACGGTCAATCAGCGACAAAGCATAGAGAAGACAGAGCCAAGGCAGGAGCTGACGATCGATGCGGCGCACCAGCAACTTCTCATCTCTGGTAGAATCCCGAGATTCATCTTGAATATCTCGAAGCTCAATATGATCCACACTGGACTCCTCAACTGTTTTGGTTGGTGTAGTAGATCTTTTGAATTCTTTCGCCATAGTGGGCAGAGCAATCAGCAGATGGGATTGAAATACAAATCCGGGGTAAAGCTGGGACCCCGCTCTTCTTATAATTCGCATAAACTGGGAGCCAAGGCTGTAGTCAATGGAGCTAGACATTCGTGTCGGTGCTCGGGGCAATGGTTAGGATAACCGAGCCATGCTCGGGATAGTGTAGAGAACCGAGTAAAATCACTTTCACTTGGAGTAAACTTGATATAATGACTCCGCAAGTATCTTTTCTTGCCTCAAAAGGACTTTAAATTACTTGCTATTACATCTTTCCGTATCCACCAATCAATATGCCTGTTGCTTTGGTCACTGGTGCATCTCAAGGAATCGGGCATGCAATTGCCTTACGACTTGCAGAAGATGGGTTTGATTTAGCTGTATGAACTCAGTTAATATCTTTTATCTGATTGTATGATCCGGTTTCTAACCTGGTTAGGTGAACGATATCGGGGCCCAGAAGGAGAAACTGGACAAGTTGAGGCTTGTAATCGAGTCTATGGGTGCGTGAAACACTTGGCACCTTCCCGCATAGACGAGCTTCTGTCTTACACTGTTATAGGGAGACGCTCGATAATAGTTGCTGCAGATATTTCTGTGGAAGAAGAAGTCAATGATATGATCTCTAGAGCAGTTGAAGCTCTCGGGAACTTGACGGTATGTCAATGGCCTCGTCCAATGCTACGTAATCTAACTTTCAAAAAATAAAAAGGTTATGGTGGCCAATGCCGGTATCATGCTCACCAAGACACTTATGGATATTACACCGGATGAATGGGATCGTGTGCAAGCAGTATGGAAACTCGTCCCTTTCCTTTCCGAGCGTGGTTAGCTGATGCTCTCTAGGTCAATGTCCGGGGCATGTTCCTTTGTTACAAAGTAGCAGGTAAGTCAATAGTATCATTCATTGGTTCATATCTGATATCTCTAGGCCAGCAGATGATCAAACAGGGTGGTGGAGGCAAGATTATAGGCGCCTGTTCAATCTCAGGCTTCCGGCCTGTATTTACGCCCCATCCCCGAGATTTGAGAAGAATCTTGTCTAACGCTAGACTCACTAGCAACCTACTGCAATTGCATATTCGGTCAGCAAATGGGCCGTGAGAGGGCTGACGCAAGCTACAGCTCTTGAGCTTGCTCCACATGGAATCAATGTAGATGACTTCGTCTTCTTTGCATACTTTTTTTACTGATCGTCATTCTAGGTCAATTGCTACTGCCCTGGAATTGTCAAAACTCCGGTAAAATGTGTCCCACTTGTTTGGTTACCAAAGCTAACAGCGGCGAGATGTGGGATGAGATCGATGACAAGATTTCCAACACAATGGGGATCCCCAAGGGTCAAGCATTTCAGCATGCAGTTGAACAACGATCTGCTATGAAGAAGCCATCAGTATGTTGGCCTACTCATTCACAAATCTAAGCTGACTATTCTGAAGACACCGGAAGATATCGCAGGGTGTGTTAGCTTTCTTGCGAGCAAGGACTCGAATATGATTACTGGACAGAGTGTCATCATCGATGGAGGTAAGATCAATTGTGTCAGTCCAAAAGAAGCTGCTAATCATGTGTATCAGGAATCCAATTCTGCTAATTCTGTTGCTGTTGGCTGTTTATCGAGCACGAGGTTCTTTCTACATCCAGGAACCCAGAGGAAGGTTTTCATTGGAATAACCATTACTACAGTTCATAGTTTAGAGAGGCATTTGAAATCTGGATTTAGTTTTTTGTATCTGAATACGAAACGAGTTTTACCACAATAAGGCCATATACATAGTAAGCCCATATAGAGATCCCAATACCGAATACGTACTTTCTTCCCACACGTAAAAGGTACAAGGCACCGGAGCCCTTTGGGGGAAAGGAACACTGGAACTGCATCGAGAAACTGCGGGGAAGCTTCGGATAGCTGATGGGAATTCCCCAGAGGTGCACCGAGAGGCGCTCGGCGCTCGGTGCTCGGTAACAACAAGAATTACCTCGACGCGTAAGAAGCTGGGCAGGTCAATAGCACATAAACATAAACTATAAAACAATCGATTTGAATCAAGACTTGGAGTTCATTATCATCTAAACTATAACACTTTGCAGCTCAACACCCCACAATGACGCAAAAGCTCATCGTAATAGTCGGCGCGACAGGCGGCCAAGGCGGATCAGTTGTCTCCTCATTCCTGAAAGCTGGAGGGTGGAGAATCCGGGGCCTGACCCGTAACCCTGAGAGCGACAGGGCGAAGGCCCTCACCGCACAGGGCGTCGAGATGGTGAAAGCGGATATCGGAGATCTGGCGAGTCTCGAAACAGCCTTTGATGGTGCCCATGTGATATTCGCCATTACGGACTACTACGAAAATTTCTGGACGAAAGGGTGGGAAAAGTCCATGGAGATCGAGTACGCACAGGGCACCAACATGGCCAAAGCAGCCAGCAAGGTGCCGACACTTGAACATTATCTGTGGAGTACTCTGCCCCACAGCACGCGCGTCTCCGAAGGATTGGCACTTGTGCCTCACTTTGAGGCAAAGGGTCGTGTGGATGAATTCATCCGAGAGGACAAGGCGCTCTTGGAGAGGACCACGTTTTGCTTCTTCACGACCTTTGCCATCAATCTGACGCATTACGAAGTGTTCAAGCCCATCTACCTGGTAGGTCCTTCACCTTCTTAGTTATTAAGAAGTGAATTTAACACACCAGCAGCCCGCAGCAAAGAGATGGATTCAGATCTATCCCGCGGATCCCAATTCTGCATACCCATCTCTGGGAGACCATCGGGTCAATACTGGGATCTTTGTCCACAGCTTGGTTAGCAACCGCCCTCCAGGTGGAACGTATGTGAGATGCAGTGTTGAAGATCTCACGCTGGAATCGTTCCTCGCCCTCTGGGGTAGGGCAAGTGGTATTGCTCCGGAACCAAAATCAACCAAAGTGATCCAAGTTTCTCCGGAAGCTTATATCGATCTTTATGGACATATGGGAGAGGAGCAAGCACGCCAGTGGGAGTTCTCGCGCATCCTGAAAGAGACTGGCGCTTTGAACAGATATGGAATCCATGTCCAGGAGGCACAAGAGTTCATGTCCAAGGATGCTATTGCATCGCTGGTAAGCCCCGAGGAATCTTTGAGGAACATTGATTGGAAGGCGCACGGTTTCTAGACCGTTGATCTCCCTGTGGATGAGTGTAGCCGCTGTCTATTTTTGTGAAAACCAAGGTTGATTTCGCTTCGACAGTTCATACATGGCAAACTGCTGCCGCTTAAATTTCCATGAAACTATCAAATTATTAGCAAAGGCAAAGCCCCCAATACTCCCAACCAATAGGATCCCGATCAAAGGTCCGAGGATCAAAAAGACTGTAAATCCATACGAAGCGTTCTGGAACGGTGCATTCAAGGCTAAACGATCGGTCGCCAGTCCAACCTGCATCGCCGTCAATGCCAAAGCAACGTAAATGGTCGCCGCAGTCAGCGTAGTGAGATGGTCGTAAAACAACTGACTATATGTCTGGTAGGTGAAATTATAGGCGCTCAAGACGTTAGCATAGCGAATTGCGTACATTTGATTCAATCGCGACAGTCTCAGCTCTCCAAATAAATACCGTGAGTTGATGTTCGCGGGGCTGGTCGCATCGTTCCTCAACAACTGCTGATTCACCTTGAGCCACATCTCCCAGGTGATGGTGTCTGGTAACAGATGGTAGTTTCCTGCAATCAAGGAAGTGCTTTCAAACTGTACAAGGGCCATATCAGAAGATAAGAGACCAAGAGCGCATTTATATAGGTCTCGTGAACATGCCTGATCTTGGGTAACCCGGTCGCCTGTGGAACCACGACAAGGTCCCTTACAGACAAGATGCGACTCCCAAAACTGAGAATCGAGGAGATATCGTGGTAGTGGCTTCAGATGGATACGTATCATATGCATATCGATTCTCTCGTCCACGGTGATTTCGCGCGAAATTGCAATCTGGTAATTCAGGGGCTTAGGTGGCATTGGTCGACCAGCCAGCCACAGGTATTGATCGATGTGGTTCAAATTATTGACCATCAAATCCTTAAACAAGAAATTCGGATCTCTTCCGTGGGGCTCACGAGTTGATGATCCATTCGGGCAGAGGCTGGGAGAAGATGAATGGGATCCGGCAGGCTGTCGGTAAATATATTTTTGCCAAATGACAGTTGAGATGCCATGAGATCATAACTTTAGGAGGTTGAAAGAAGAGAAAGATGAAATAAGTAGAGGGGCTGTGTGTAGGCTGTGTGTAGGCTGTGGGCTTGGCAAAATGCACTTCTCCCTATAAATAATTTCCACTGTAACATCAACACATTCACACATTCAACACATTCCCTTCAATTTATCATGGTTCCTCTTAAAATTATTGTCACGGGTAAATCTTCCATCACTCACCTCCCTGAACGTGGTACCCTCAGATTCTCAGTAAAGGGAAATGGCCCCGAGCAAGAAAAAGTCGCCAAAGAAGTGGCAACATCATCCACCAACCTCCAAAATTGGATCATATCAACCTTTAATTCCCGGAGCGACGATGATCCTGAACCCCCTCTGACAAAATTCTCATCCACGAGTATCAGAACCTGGACAAAGTCAACAGATAGACACGACCAACCCGTGTTAAATCCACACCATGCCAGTATATCCTTCCAAGCCGTCTTCCGCGACTTCGCCAAGTTGAACCACGCGATCGAAGAATTACTGGTCTATCCCAAGGTCGAAATCGACGGCCTGGATTGGACTCTCACTGACGAGACCGGGAGACGATTGGCATCGGATGCGCGCAAATTGGCCCTGCGCGATGCTATTCAACAAGCCGAAGACTATTCGGAAGTGATTGGACGCGATGTTTCCGTAGCGGAAATTACCGACCATGGGATAAGCCCTTACCGGGCTCAAAGACAGATGGTCGCTGCTAGTTATGGTGGTCAGCCTGGGGAAGATCCGGTGCCGCTGGACCTCACGCCTCAGGATATTGACGTTGAAAGTAATGTCAATGTTACCTTTTCAAGCTAGGGGAAATGTGAGATGTTTGAAATGATTCTTTCTTCCAAAGCTAGTGGATCATGGGCATCCGAACTAAATTAATTTACGAATATCTCATTGAATTTGTGATTTATCCGAATTATTATACTCCAATCATATTTTCTCCTCAGTTAGCATTAAAAACTTCCCACATAAGAGTATCAAAGTCCGGAGCTCCGTTGAAGTCCATAAAACCCCCGGGCATGGAACCATGCAGCCAGCTCATAGAATCGATGTGCGGATCGTAATCATCCATAAAGGAGTTCAGCGACAGGTCTTCAATGCCAGAGTCAGCACGAAGTGCAGAAGGCAGCTCGATTCCCTCATTGGCACTCTGTGGCTGCTGTGCCCTTGGTATGCCGGGAATGGATTGGCTTTTGCCTGGTCTAGTCGAGCTTAAAGGAGCTTCTAAGCTTCGCATCCTGATGAGCCTCTGAACAGTCGCACCGGATAACTCATGAATGCAATCCCTTGCGCGCTTAGCCTCGGCCCAATATTCCCCGATACTGCTTAGTATATTCAGACTGATGCTCGTGTCAGCGACCACCTCATCAATCTGAACCTCGGATGCAACATGCGGCAGTCTCCACAAGCAATGTAGCATTATCAGCGTGCTCAAGAAGACCGAGTGGACAATGAGTCGGCTGTATAAGAGAGCTTCCTGTCTGTAAAGCTCTCCAACCCCGCGGAGAAGGTCTACAGCGTGCCGAAAGCATCGCGCAAGTATCTCTTCCGATGGCTCGGGAATTCCGGGGCTAGGTCTCAGCACCAGGATCATCATCTCGTGATATTTGGTTTCGCATATTTTCATGATGGCATCGCTTTCACCTCCGCTGGGGATGCCTGCAAGCCAAATCTGAAGGCGTTCGATCATCTCTTTCTGCCACAGATGGATGTCGGGTACCGGTGGGTAGGCATATCGGGGAGGATCTCTGCAGATGCTGTGCATGACATATTTTATCTCAGAGTTGATGCGGGCGAGTCTGAACAGGTGGATAGAGAATGTCATGTGAGAAGTTGTGCGATTTCCCGAGGTTTCGCCGCTAATTGACTCAGAAAGGTCGCCATCAGAGACATCTGAAGGGAGCTGAAGGTACCATTAGCCAAGGTCTATTAGAGAAGCATGCCATATCAAAGCACTTACCCGAAGCTCACACGCCTCATCTCTCACCCCGATCGGCCGACCCATCATCGTTCCCAATGTACGATCAAAGCTATATACCACCCAGAAGATGCGAGTCCGCATTTCCTGTTCCAAGAACGAGATGGAGAATGTCGATGATGCACGAACATCACGCTGAAGACCCAGGTCAATAAGGGAGCCTAAGCATTGGTAGTTCAGGCTCCAGACATTGATATCGCACGAGGGATTATGAATTCCATATACCATTAGCAAGAGCAGACTCTGGAGTCCTTCCAAAGAGCCATCGGCACAAGCACGTTCGAAATGCTGGGTAGCTGCTGTATAATACCCCTCAGCCGGAAGGGGAATTCTAAACCGTCTAGAGAGATCCGAGGCTGCTATTGCGAGCACCATGAAGACGTGAAAGGCATCGGCTGGTTTGGGGGATCCTTCATCGCTATAAATTCTCCCGAGTTTTGTCATGTGGGACGGTTGGTGTAGAAACGGGTAGACGAGATGGACCGAAGTAAAGTACTTCGAAGTAAGCTCCACAGCATCTTCTTTGCGACTTGGGAGCGGTGCTGGGCTGTTGAAAAGCTCGGATGAGAGCGACATTGGCTTGTTCGCATTGCCATGGTTTCCCGATAGCCCCGTTCGTCGGCCAGCACTTGAAAATATGAGGTTTGCCAGGAAATATCCGCTTGAAGGACCAATATATCTCGGCTCTCCCGAAGAAAGCGAGACGAGACCAATTTCGTGGGCCGGTCTTGAATGTGCTCGAGACGGTTGTGGCTCCGCTAGCCCGGGTTGTTCATGGGGTGTTATTGACTGGTGAATGCGGGCTCCCTGTGGAATAGCAGACTCGATTTGGGTGCTTTCCTCCGTAGGTTCGAGTTGTGAGATATCTGAGAGATGCACTTGTGGGCCACCCTCTAGCTGGACTGTTGGGTCTTGTTCCTTTATTAAAGACTCTAACCACTGCACTCGCTTTTGTAGATTCGCAATGTACCTAATCAGCTGTTAGTATCAGAAGTGACAGAGAAGTGGAAGAGGTATCCATGTGACTCGGCAGATAATCATACGTACGTGCGATTAACCTCTTGTTTTCCATCGTTCACACAGACTATATTGGCCTTTCTGCACGATGCACAGCGGGGAAGATCTCCATCACAGCGGATTTTCCGTCGCTGACACCTCCGACAGGCGGCACGGTTCCGAGACCGCCGTGGAGAGTCCATCAAGCAGGGTTCCTGATCAGCGTTTTGCTGATTCAATAATACAAGCCCAGAATAAACGTTTCTGAGGACGGACACAGCCTAAAGATGTAAAAAGCGAAATATTGGAATTGACGAGGTTTTGGGAGAAGGCGGGAAGCTTCCGCCAAGGAACGGATGGCATCCGTCGCTCTATTTAAAAGACATCCGATTTCAACCTGTCTATAACTTCATCACTTTATCTTATTTTAATTTCTTACAATACTCAAAATGGTTCTTGTTCACATTGGTATGATTTATCCCCCAGGAATAAAGTACTTGATTGACCTCAATAGTTCTGTTCAAATTCCGCGCGGACATCGGAGACGAAGTGCAGCAGGAGTTCCTTTCCCAAATTAAAACGCTCAAGTCCTTGTCCTGTGTTAAAAGCCAAAGGCTTGTGGTTGGAGGTCCCTCAATTACAACCCCAATTGAAAAGAGCAAAGGATTTCAATACGCTCTAGTGAGCTACCACGAGGATCGAGCAGCATTGGCTGAGTATCAAGCTAGCAGCGAGCACGAAAGGTAAGCAAATCCCCTTGAGGGCTCAAATTTTTAGCAATTAATGGCAATTCATGTTGTTTAGGGTTACCAGCACATACTTTATTCCTTACAAGGAGGATCTGGTTCGGTTTGACTTTGAGACCGATCAAGTCGACGAGGCACTGCTTGGGTTTTGATACATCCCATGCCAATGTCAGTTATAGAAGGGAAATTATACCAGAGTAAGATCTATATGTTCTGATTCAGGGTGACGTACATTGTACAAAATACCACGTGGAGAAATAGTGCGGCCCAAAGGGGAGTCAAAGCGATTGGAGCAGGTGTCGTATCACATCATTGCATCTCAACGAGCAGGGATTATGGAATTTATTAATCAAGCATGCTTTCTTTTACCTTGGCAAGGGGTGGGAATACTTGATATTCTAAAAATCCCTGTGGACATATATGTCAAAATGAATAAACAGTTGACATATATCCATCGTGTGTCTTTATTACATTTCTGCCAAATTTGTTTTTCTTAAATCCCAAGATGTTTGTTCATCTCCGCAATCACGTCTTCTCCATCTGTCTCAGCAATGACCCTTGCTAGGATGTGTTGATCAGGGCGAACCAGAACCCCTCCACCATGGACCAATTCATCAGCAAACCAACTCTGCCTGACGATTTCGAAGTCAACTCCGAGGCGCCAGGTATTAAGAAGTACGCCGATCATTGTACAGTGCTTCTGCAGAAGGGTAATGTTGGGGGTTTGCTGCTCCTGCCCCAAAATCAAGGTCCAAGAGTCAGGGCCACAGAGATCCAGGGTACTCCACCGACAAGCCCGAACCTGATCTACCTTAAACTCTTTGACATAGGACACATCGACTGACTCCTGAGGCAGTGAAGAGCGTTTGGCTGCCTCTGTCTCCCGGGAGAGCTGATCTGGGAAGCTGATCCAAGCATGAGGCAAGCGCGCCCCGGGCACAAATCGAGGAGAATAATGGGAAGCATGAGGAGGTGGCTTGGTAGCCCCATATACATATCCAATATGAAGCTCCAGCTATGAGAAAAGGTGTGAGAAAGACCCATATTTTATGGGAAGCGGCAAACCACGCCGAAGTCACTTACATTATCGAAATGCTCCCTTTGTCCTTCAATACCGGCCTTGACCCGTTTGAGTTGGGCCGGATCTGCCAGCGCCGCCATCATATTATTTCGCGCTTGTACAACATCTTCAACACCCGCGGTTTTGAGACTCTGCAGCAGTGCAAATATCTCCTTGCCGTTCTTAACACTCTGCTTGGAATAGGAATCCGCAACACCTCGTCGTTCGGCAGTGTATGTCGAAAGTATAGATGACGTTGCCACCCCCGGTGAACCAAGGCAATCTTGTAAGCCAAGTTGTGAACATCTGCAAGACCACAATTCAAACCTAGCCCACCAGTTGGGGGGAACGAGTGAGCAGCATCTCCAGCCCTGAAAGAAAAAGAAAATCAACAAAGAACCTACAGGGTCAATATCTAACTACAAGAACTTACAAGAAAATATTCCCCTTCTGGAACGTGAAAGCAACCTGGCGACGGAAGACCCAAGGGCGATAGCTCAGGATATCAAACTGAACATCATCTTTACCGATAGCACTGCGAATCTTGGCCCTGCACATATCTTCTGTCCACGACTCAACCGGGTGCTCTTCAACGTCTACCTGGCTGATATGCACCTGGATCCCATCGAGATCATAGCCGATGATAAACCCCGCAGCTATAGGGTCCATTATCCAGTACAGCATACCGAGACGGTCACCAACGACAGGTCGCAGATTGGCATTGAAATGAATGGTCATCATTGTCTGATCCGAGTCTTCGCTCTCAGACTCAATACCGAGAAGCTCACGGACCTTGCTTCTACGACCGTCACAAGCTATGAGGTGACGGGTCTTTGTTTGATGGAATTGTCCAGTTGACCGCTCCTCAATTGTCGCTACGACTTCATTTTCAGTCTGGTTTTCGGTTAACGGTATTGCTTCATCAATGACAGAGATGGGCCGTATACTTACTTGTTCCACGGCATGAATGCTGAATCCCTTGAGCAAGGTAATATTGGGATCCTTTGCAATAAAATTGGACAGTTCTTGCTCTAGGGCTGGTTGGGGTATATTATGAATCATCTATTTGTTTTTGGTCAGTGCCATTTCCAGCCTTCACTATAGAGGACAGTACCTCTGGCGTGTCATCCAAGACCGCAGGATCCATGCGCTCATACGGGAGGCTGCCGATCGCTTCCTCGCAAAGATTTGTCAGAAAATTGACCGAAGAGCTATCATCTCGCGAAGTGCCTAGCTGGCGCACACGCTTCTCGCCGAGTTCAAATTGACGCAAGATTTCCAAAGACCGGGGGTTGATCGCGTGAGCTTTTGGAGCAGCCAAACGCTCGGGATAACGTTCGATGATCAATGACTGAACTATATCATATCAACAAAATGTTCCTGTCGACTTCTCTGCAAACATACCACCGAGTCGAGAGAGAAGGAGGGCCTGCAATAAACCAGTCGGGCCTCCACCCACAATGAGCACTGGCACAGAACTTGGTAAACTGCTAAAGCCACTAGTCTGGTGGGATGCAAAGTCTCGGGACGGAGCCATCTTCATCCAATTTCGACTTGATTTTCTTCCAGAATCACTTGAAGAGTACTGCTTTCCACTTTTTGAATGCACGACTCTGGGTGTATGGGAGAAGGAAAGTCCCGAAGTCGGCCAGAACATGCAATGCTTCACCAATCAAAGGGGAATATAGGAGCTAGTAGCTAAATATTTCTCAATGGATTCAATATGAAAATTTGATCAATTCAGCTTGGAAGCCACAGAATCCACCGAAATATAGTAGCGTGTTCGGGCGGGATGACCCAGCTATTTTTCATTTTTTTTTTCACACGCACTAAGCTCGTTATTACGACAACCATATATATCCCTGCATAGCGCAATGCTAGTTGTTATGCTGAACTTGTGATTGGTCTTAAAAAATACGGAGATGCGGTGCATGACGCCAAAAGAATGTATCAAAGCCGTTTTGGCTGGGTTTCAAGTGCCGAGTATACTCGATATTGTTTCGGACTAAAATGCAAATGGCCACTATATACTATACTCCGGGTATTAAAAAGGAGATTTCCGCTTTATTCTATGCAACACAGTGTTCAAAGTCGTTCTTTTCTCCCCCCTGTTCACAGTTCCTGACCCTCGTGCTTATTTTTCTCCTTTAAATTTTGGTTCCCCCTTGGGCACCTTCAATATGTCCGATAGCTCACAACCAGAGTCCGAGACGAAGGTCGAGTTCCATGCCGTACCTGGTACCGAAATACTGTTCGATAGTAGCGATAATGGAAGTATCTCTGAGCGACTTCATCAGCTGAAGCATCGCGAAACAGGCGATGGCCACATGTTATTGGTCCCGCAACCTTCCATCAATGATCCAAATGATCCTTTGAACTGGTCCACTACGAAGAAAAGCTTGACTTTCTTCAATGGCTGTTGGTTTGCGTTTATGGGTGCTATTACAGGTCCTATTATGGCAGCTGGTGTGTACCTATCTTCTATCATATCGATTATATTGAGCCATTCTGACTAGTACAGGTATGATGCAACTGTCCGTGACCTTCGATAAGCCCCTCCAGGAATTAACCTATGCGAACGGAGCTTGTTTGATCAATCAGGGTGTATGGAATTGTGTGTGGATGCCGTTTGCCGTAAAGTATGGCCGCCGCCCCATCTACCTCTTCTCGAACTTCCTCATGGCCATCGCTTGTATCTGGCTAGCTGTTGCATCCAACAAAACCTACACTGTTTTCCTGGTTGGACGTGCTTTTCTGGGAGCTTTCCAGGCGCCCATTGAGTCAATCGTCCCATCAACCGTGACTGATATGTTCTTTTTGCACAACCGTGGAGAGCTTATTGCTATTTACGGCCTGTCTGTTCTGGGAGGTAATGAGCTGGGACCTATGTTCTCTGGATTTATCGTGCAAGCTCTTGGAATGGACTGGGCCTTTTGGATTGTGACCATGTTCGTTGGTGCCAGTTTGATCTCCATGTTTTTCTTCATGCCAGAGACCAAGTTCGACGGACCTCGTCCCGATTCATTCCAACCCACCAAAGTCGATGGGGATAAAGACCAGGTGCTAGTTCAGGAATCAAGTCCAATTCCCAAAAAGACCTTTGTGCAAGAACTCAAGTTCTGGAATAGCGGAGATCCGGATGTGAATCTCCTTCACGTCTTCCTGCGCCCGTTCGTGCTAGTGGCCTATCCCACCGTCCTCTGGTCATGCTGCATTTACGGCATGGCTCTTAGCTGGAATGTCATCCTCGGCGCGTCGGTGGCACAACTCTTTGCACCCCCTCCCTACGCATTCAATTCCAACGGCCAGGGTTTATTCTTCCTGTCGCCCTTCATTGGATCTCTTTTCGGTGTCTTCTTCTCTGGCCCAGGAGGCGATTGGATTGCCAACTTCTTCACTAAGCGCAACAATGGCATTCGTGAGCCCGAGATGCGGCTACCGACCTGTCTGTTGGCAGCGTTTTTCACATTTTTTGGTGCGCTTTGGTTTGGACTTTCCTATGAGCACCAGATGCACTGGGCAATGCCCGTTGTGGGGGCGGGTATCCTGTCAGTAGGAAGTCAAATGGGAACCACGTTAGGAATGAACTACGCCCTGGATTGTCACAAAGAGGTAAGAACTTTGCCTTTTCAGCTTCGGAGCCACTCTTTTAGTATACTTGCTAATCGATTCCATTTTTGGGGTTGTAGCTTTCCGTTGAGATCATGGTGACTATTGCTGCTTTGAAGAGTTGCATCGCATGGATCTGGACGTGGGTGATCAACGACTATATCACTTCCAATGGTGTATTGAGTGTTTTTATGACAGTTGCGGCCATCAACGTTGTGGTCTACTTGGTCTACATTCCCTTTTATCTTAAGGGCAAGGAGATCCGAATTTGGTTGCACCAGAAGGATTTCCTCCGGGCCGCTGGTATCATCTAGGTCGAATGGGTGGAGCCTTCTAGTGTGCGTGTACCTGAGATTACCAAAAGTTTCCTTCGTATTTAGATATTTTTAATATATATATATATATATATAAATTGCTTTTCTCCACTTCCTAGGCCATGGCCATGTTAGTTTTTAATTCGAAAGGAATGAAGTTTATAAAATTCTAGAGCGCCATGGATGTTTCGCTAAAATCCAAGTTAAACGAAGCATACTGAGTACACGACTTATAGGAACCCCATATATACCCGTGTTTTAATTTATTTTACGGGCTCTCAATTCGATATTGTGGCTTCCAATGGCTTCCAAAGGGTCTTTTCATTCCCGGCTGCGGCCCGCCGGGTCTTTTGGGGAAAATACATGTAGGCCGTGGTCACAATGGCATAGTCTTCGATTGCCTAGCGTCAAGGTTAAGCCTTACTAACTTCTATAATAGAATGGAATCACTAGGGTCCATAGGCATGTTTGCAAAAGGGTTATGTAGTCCCCAAGGGAAATGTGTCTATGCATTCATAGGCCGATCATGGTTTATCCCCCCATTATATCTAGATTTACGATTTGTGAATCGATCGCCCTCTCGCTTGTTTCAATGGATCCTTATAATATAAATGCATTTAGGAATATCCACACTACTCCGTATGGATCCACATGCTATATGCAGTCGCATTTGTACATCCCTGTTCCTTGGCGCTTGGCTATTCTATGCAACCCTTGCTCCGTACCCAATATATTGACAGCTTTGTGTCGCTTGTGGACTTAGGCTATAATGATATGTGACAATATAATTCCAATTGATTCCCACACTCGAGATACCACACTAATGCAGAGCTAAAGAACTTCCCCGGAACAAAATTCCTACATGTTGAAAGCCAATTAACACTCTCATGCAGGTTTCTTTTTTAGCTCGGGAATTGGTTTGAACAAATTGTTAGAATTCTCGGCACTTAATTAATTTATTGACTTTAATTTATTATGAGCAGACAATAGACGCAAACCCTTTTAGGGTACTCCGTAATCCTTCCGAACTGCGAGTTGTTCTGGGCGCCTAATTTGGAAAATTACACTTCTCCAATAGCAAGCGTCGAGATGATTAAACCCCTGCTCATCGCGTGAGAATTTACTGAGAGTGCGGAGCGGCTTTGACCGGTTTCCGAATGGCCTGCAATGATGTCTGTAATATCAAGCATATGCATCCACTTCTGACTTCATTTTGCATCTTCTCTTGTTTCTGCCTACTGTGCGAGAGCTTGAGGAGGTATTCCCTCTCTGAAGGCCAGAAATGGCCGGAAACAATTCTACGGTCATCCTCGCAGTGTCTTGGACAGAAACATGCATTGGTTTATCCCTTTTCGGTCTTCGGTTCTTGAGTAACTGGAAATTTGTGGGGCGGTTCAGATGGGACTTTGTTGTCGCTAGTTTGACGGTGGTGAGTGTTCGGCCTTGTGTGAGAAGCCTCGATTGCATGGCATAAGCTAATGAGTGTGTTTCTCACAGGCAACCGAGATTACTGCCCAGGTGTTCCTGCAGTTTTCAGTTAATGCTGGAATGGGCCGTCACTTGGATGAGCTCTCGGACTCGCAGAGAGTTACAGCGCTGCACTGGTCATGGGTATTCCAGTTACTCGCAATAGCTGCTAGCATGCTTGGAAAGCTTGCAATTCTCACCTTCCTTTTCCAGATTCGTGGTCGTCATGAGAAGAAGCCTTGGTTCTTGATTATCCTGGGTGTTCTCATTGGGACAATCAACATTGCCGTTCTTGGAACCATTCTGGGGCAATGCAAGCCAATGCACAAATTGTGGGATGATAGCGTTGAAGGAACCTGCGACCCGGGGCGCAAAATGAATCAGAACTATTCATTCTTCCAGGCTAGTGAGTTTTCACATTGAATCGACGCATTCAAAGATTGAGCCGTTGCTAACAAGTTAGGCTTCAACGCATTTAGCGACGCCTTGTTGGCATCATATCCGATTCATCTCTTTTGGAAGCTCCAGATGAAGCTGCGAATCAAGGTAGCCTTGTCTATCCTCATGGGATTGGGTTGGATGTAAGTACTTCATCCAACACTTCAGCCTATCCCGAGCTGACATTCCCCCGAATGCAGAGCGGCAGTTTGCTCCGCTGTCAAGACATATGAGCTCAAGGCGTTGACCGAAACAACTGATATCACCTGCAAGTCACAATCCATACTTCCATCTTTAGAAATATCCTTTTTGGCTAATCGTCATATTTCCAACAGACGCCCAATCCTCCCTCCTCATCTGGGCCTCGACAGAAGCTTGGATCGTCATCATCGTTGGCTGCGTACCACCCATCCGACCTCTCATGGAAAAGGTAATGCAGCGACTGGGTTTCACCTCAAAGAAAACGTCGACGCCCTACGAGTACCGCAACTCGAGCGGACGTGCAGCATATGGCACGAACAAGTCCAACTTGGTTAGCCACTCACACTTTCAGTCCAACGCATATGGGGGTAGAAAGTCATTTGACGATGACCCGGGCTGGATGGAGCTCACCACATCTGGTGGGACAAATGGAAGCAAGGAACATATCAATGCACAGAAGGATGTTATGGTTAGAACTGATATTGTGACTCGTTTTGATGATGTGGAGGGTCCTTCGTCAGGTAGTAATATCTCTGCTGAGGATATCCATGAGCGAAGAGATCAAAAAGCTGTATAATATTAATATATTATTTTTACATATGTTCACATATGTCCACACACATCTTTCCCTTCGTCCAAGTCCAAAGAGTCAAAGACCTCGGGAAGACTTGTGGGGCTCCCCGCGGATCCCCCAACACCGCCGATAACCGAGGTTCACTCGTGATTATGACCTTTTCCTCTTCTTCCCTTTCACTTCTCTTCCTCGACTAGCTTATTCCCCCTTTATTCACAATGGCTTCTATTATTCGTGCATTGAGACCTTTGTCGCGTACCCCCTCAGTCCGCCTGGCGGGTAAACGACTTGCTGCCGGCCGCCCCGTACAGAGGTACCATCTAGTCCCAACGCATATTATTGAAAGAAACACATTTCCTAACAAACTTCGATTGTAGCGCATATGCATTCTCAACCACCCCCGCCGGCGGGAAGTCGACCTCTCCGAGCTGACCCCGACGCCGATCACCCTTTTGTCCGAGACCGAATCCCTGATGGCCGACTCGGTATCGAAGTTCGCCGTGGAGCAAATCGGGCCGAAGGTACGGGAAATGGACGAAGCCGAGACCATGGACCCGAAGGTCGTGGAGCAGCTCTTTGAGCAGGGCTTGATGGGCATCGAGGTGCCAGAGGAGTTCGGCGGCGCAGGGATGAACTTCACCGCGGCGATCGTCGCGATCGAGGAGCTGGCACGCGTCGATCCCAGCGTCAGCGTGCTGGTCGATGTTCACAACACACTTGTCAACACCGCCATCATGAAGTACGGTGATGCTCAGGCCCAGCGTACCTGGCTCCCCAAGCTGACTACCGGCACCGTCGGCTCGTTCTGTCTCTCCGAGCCTGCGTCTGGTTCCGATGCCTTCGCGCTCCAGTGTAAGGCCGAGAAGACCGCCGATGGTTATAAGATCAATGGCTCTAAGATGTGGATTACCAACTCTATGGAGGCTGGTATCTTCATCGTCTTTGCCAACATTGACCCCAGCAAGGGCTACAAGGGCATCACTGCTTTCATTGTTGAGAAGGATACCCCCGGCTTCTCAATCGCCAAGAAGGAGAAGAAGCTTGGAATCCGCGCTAGCAGCACTTGTGTGCTCAACTTTGACGACTGTGTCATCCCCAAGAGCAACCTGCTCGGCGAGGAGGGACAGGGATACAAGTATGCCATCAGCGTGTTGAACGAGGGTCGTATTGGTATCGCCGCTCAGATGACCGGTCTGGCTCTCGGCGCATGGGAGAACGCCGCACGGTGAGTTTGAATATATGATATACACCCGAATATGGAACCGATCAGCTGACCACCCCTAAAGATACGTTTGGAACGACCGCCGCCAATTCGGTGAACTCATCGGAAACTTCCAGGGCATGCAGCACCAGATTGCGCAGGCCTACACCGAAATTGCCGCTGCCCGCGCTCTCGTGTACAATGCCGCCCGTAAGAAGGAGGCCGGCCAGGACTTCGTCCAGGACGCCGCCATGGCTAAACTCTACGCCTCCCAGGTTGCCGGCCGGGTGTCCAGCTCTGCTGTTGAGTGGATGGGTGGCATGGGCTTTGTCCGTGAAGGTATTGCTGAGAAGATGTTCCGTGATAGCAAGATTGGTGCTATCTACGAGGGTACCAGCAACATCCAGCTGCAGACTATCGCGAAGCTTCTCCAGAAGCAGTACACGAACTAAACGAGATGGCTTTGCTTATAAATAGTTTGATTTCATGCACACTGCGGCGTATTGTTTGTTTCTTTTTGGGTATGTATTCATCGTTCCCTATGGGGTATACAGAATATGAAGGGTCATCGTGGGTTATCCTTGCGACCATTTGGCATTTACTCCACTGAGGTATATAAATGTCACAGTGTGTATATAAAAAGAGTAAAGTAACATCGCATATGACGGCCCCAGTTATGCCAATATGCCCAGCCTGATTTGTATATCCAATCCCCACGAGTGTTTCCCGGCGTAAAATTCAAGTTGCCAGCTTACCGCTCGAGTCCCGAGGTCGTATGGAGTAGATAGTCCGGAGGTGGGACCGGAGCTTCTCCGACAGGTTGCTTTCTTCGGCACGGCTGTTATTTCCGTTATCATTTTTGCGTGAAAAAGGATTTCAATCACGATTTCTGCGACTTTCGAGTCCCAGAACAAGTATTGCTGTTCTATAGCAGGAATCAGTATGCATGTTCGAACTGTGGTTCTTCGGCGAAACTCACATGGTGTAAGACCGGATCGACGGTTATTCCGCCCTGAACTCGCAAGGCATTGTGTTTCCAAGGATACAATGCCCTTGGATTGCTCCGGTTGCCTGGCACATCCATTATTCATGATGGAGGCACCCATGGATACTCGTATGTCGGATCCGCTTGTTGCGATTGAGGCATTGGTTGCGGGTACGTTGATGTGGAGGCTTGGTAGACCGGGGCGGGCGTTGGCTGAGGAATAGGACTGGCACTCGACATGGAAAGCGATCGGTTGCTGTAGGTGAATTGGGAGAAAGAAGATCCGGATTGTTGCTGGGGTGGGCAGATTGCTCCTTGATGCATTTGACCATCTATGGGATATGGCTCCATACGATTGGGAAATTCTGGGTTGGAGGTTGCGCCGAGCGACGGCGATCTCGTGGACAAATATGGGTGTTGCCAGTCATTCTGATGAGACGCTCGACGTGGTGCTGAAAGACCCGAGGGTCTTTGGGTGTGGGATGTCGCAGTGAAGTGTGGTGGTAGCAATGACCCTGTGGTTGGGCTGCCCGGTACTGCACTGTTCGAGGCTTCTTCCAAAGACCATCCAGTTCGAAACGGAGCCATCGGTTCGTTATTTGATGCAAACTCCGGTCGGCCAGTCAAAGAAGCAACTTGATGCTTCAATCGGATCACTTCGTTCTCCAGAAAGGCATTGTGTTGCATGACTTCATCGAACCGCTCGTTTTGGGGCCGCATCTCCGCAATCTGTGACTGGAGGGTGGCAACCTGAGCTTCAAGTTGTTCTGTATGCTCCTTGGTGCGTTGACGAATGGACCTCTGAGCCTCTCGATCGTTGGCACGCTTTCGCTCTAGTTGTTCGACTGACAGGGTCGAGACTTTTCTTGTCCCCGATCGAGACTCCCGTCTCTTCACAGGCCGTTCGTCCTGAGAGCTCATTGTTATCGGTGTGCTGGTAGTCCTTCTCTCCGTTGCCCAGAACCTTTCAAAGAGAACCCCCCACTGGTGACCATGGACCGAGCACTAAACAGCCGGAGAGATGCTAACATGAGGGGAAGTGGTGGATTACTTTGCAAAGATCGCGTGTGGGTGGACTATTTCCGAGCCGAGCAGGGATTAAGGCAGAACGTGACAGATCGTGCGAATCAAGGGCTAGATTAGCTTGGACGATTCTACAGGGTAGAGGAAAATAGGACGTTGCGCGAGGTATAGTCATGCTTTCAAGGGGTGATTATAACCTTGCCAACAACGCAGTGGCCTTGTTCAGACCATAATATTGTCCCACGCCTCTATACACATTTTGTTTTCTCCAGATTAACAAGCCAGGCAAATCTCCCGATGATGCGGCGAAAGCGAGACCTTAACCCGACCCCTAAGCGCCCAATAAGCGTGGAGAAATAGACGAACTGTGTGGATAGCTACGGGCCATAGGATATAGCGTTCTCTTTCCAGCCACTACGGTGAGCCGCCCTCATAGATCCGCTTTTTTTTTTTCGACTGCCAAGATGAAAATGAGCTGCCACTTGAAGAGTATGTCCTCGTAATGAGCATTTACTATATACACCTTAAATTGGATATTGAGGGCAAGTCAAATGTTCACCCATGGGGCAGCAATGAAAGTACTAAAAATACACCTTGCGCCATTAGGCATTCATAAGCCTATCGGTCATGATCCGCGTCTTTGTGGAGATGTACGGAGTAAAAGCGGACCGGAATCCTTTGGCCCCCATCTAAAGCTCATTACCGAAGATTAGGCTCCTCTAGGCATCCACGGATATTATTTGAAGGATGTTTGAGACTATTATCTCTAAAGTATTGTTGGAAAGAGAAGGTTTTGACTCTACTGTTTTATATCTCCGATTTAGGATCCTTGGGCCTCAGCGGGGGACTCCTGCAAAGGTCCTATTATTCCAGCATCGCGGTGTCCGCTCTGATGTCCGCTCTGCTTTTTTGGAAAGTAGGACGATCTTATATTTTGATTTTGATACCTCTAATGATCCAGTTGATCCCTTATTGCCTACGCTGGACATAATCGCTTAATGCCCTCCGTGACGCTGCAACATACTCACATTTTGAACCATGCAATGAGAAGAGTATAATTACGTTTTACTGATGTTAGATGTTGTAGTTTGAAATGGATATAGGATGTCAATGGCTATTTGTACACCGTCATCGCTATCCGCCAGGTGGATGCCTCGAAGTGGAGAATCGGGCACGGTTCGAAGATGGCCCTATATAAGAGTTTAACCGGCATGTGGACGTTCGCATACAGCATAAGTACCAATGTACCAGTCTTCGCCCCATGTTAGATGATCGACTTTGCCGGACGAATCATATCAATCAGATATGGCTCCGATACAACCCGCAAATGTTTCTTTAGGTATAATGTAAGTTCTGACAGTGATTTGCCTTTCTTCCAGATCATTGTCTATATATGCATGTTTTCAAGGCATAAATAATCATACAGCCGACTTAGTCAGCCATTTTGACTAGATTCTAGCAATATTTCCACGAGGAGATTCTTAGGGAAATTACTGAAGATCTAGCTTAAAACATTCTCCAAGTATTTAGGCACTAAGAGATTGAAAATCTAAAGGCGAATTACCCAATGTGGTTAGTATCATCTTTCCAGGAACTGATCCACAATACACGTGACATCAAGCGAAAGGGGTGGGTCATTGGTAACCAATCAGAGGATGTTTACCAGACTTTTGTGACAATCTTAAATGCTTGGCAACAAATCTCTTCTTTGTCAAATATAAACTTCCCAAAGGTTGGATTGATTCACATTTTAAACATCAGTCTCACTTTTGTTTAAAAGAGTAAGGATTATACACTCGCTCCTTCCTCTTTGTCTTGTTTTTATCAAAAGAGTTCACTTTGCCACTTTCCGAGTTTGAATTTTCACAATAACTGCAGTCCTTTTTTCGATATAAAGCCTTGACCATGGAAGGTCTTCAACTCAGCAATGATACACAGCTGTATTCAACCATGGCTGGGAAGCTTGACTCCAAGCTTCTTAAAGCCCTCGACGTGATGGGATTCACCAACATGACCCCTGTCCAGCAGCGTGTTTTGACCGAACTTCCAACTTGGCGTAGCGACTGCCTTGTCCAGGCCAAAACTGGAACAGGAAAAACCCTTGCTTTCTTGTTGCCTGCATTGCACTGCCTGCTCCAAGGTGATTCTGCGCCACCCAAAGGCAAGGTCGGCATTTTGATCATTACCCCAACCAGAGAACTCGCCCAGCAAATTGCAAAGGCGTGTGATGAACTAACCTCTCAACTTCCCACTCCTCTGGAGTGCCATGTTGCAGTTGGTGGAACGGCTCGAGCATCTGCTCATTCCCGTTTCATGAAGGGCGCACCATCCATTCTGGTCGCCACCCCGGGACGCCTGTGCGACTACTTGTCTCAAACTCCCACCGCTAAGAAGCTGTCTAACATCCAAACTTTGGTTTTGGATGAAGCCGACACGATGCTTGAGAGTGGTTTCATTGCCGATGTCAAGCGAATCCTCCAACTCATCCCACAAAAGAGCACTGGGTGGCAAGGCATGTGCTTCTCAGCCACCGTCCCCCCGAAAGTCAAGGATGTGGTCAATATTGTGTTGAAGAGAGACTACACCAGCATTTCCACCATTGATAAGAATGAATCACCAACACATGAGAGAGTTCCCCAGTACCACGTGCTGATGCCGTCTGTGGCAGACACCTTCACTACCCTTGCCTCCCTACTCAAGCTTGAAATCAAGAAAAGCTCGAAAATCATCGTCTTCGGCGTGACTGCACACATGGTTGCTCTCCTCGCAGGTGTCTTCTGCAAGGGAATGATCCACTTGAAGGTCTTCGAGATTCACTCCAGACTCAACCAGGGTGCTCGCACGAGAACCACGAATCAATTCAAGGAGGCCGAATCTGGAATCCTGTTCGCTTCCGATGTTATTGGTCGTGGTATGGACTTCCCCAACGTCGACTTGGTCATCCAGGTCGGTTTGCCATCAAACGGCGAGCAGTACGTTCACCGTGTCGGTCGTACCGCCCGTGCTGGCGCTGACGGCCGCGCTATCATTCTCCTCACGGAGGGCGAGTCGTTCTTCATGAAGCAAAACCGCCACTTGCCAATCAAGCCCCACCCCGATACCGAAGCGATCAATGCTGGCGCTCCTTCATGCTCCAAAGCTGTCTTGCAGGCCATGTACACTATTGAGGAAGAGTCGAAGCAACGTGCCTACTCATCTTTCATTGGTTTCTTCGCTGGATCGGGTCTTCTGAGACAACTTCGTCTCGACAAGGCTGGCCTTGTTCAACTCGCCAATGAGATGGCAGTCAAGGGCATGGGATGCCCCGAGCCTCCCCCAATGGACAGAAAGGTCATTGGCAAGATGGGTTTGAAGGGCGTTCCCGGGTTCAACTATGCAGACCCAAATGACTTTTCCCGAGGCGGCTCATCTAGACCTCGCAACTCTTCCCGAGGTGGCAAGAGTCGTGATGCACTTAGCCCTGGGGCTGGTCAAGGAGACCGAGGCGGTATTGAGAAGCGCGGAGGAGGCCGCGGAGGCCGTGGAGCACGTCGTGGTGGACGTGGAAAGCCGAGATCATGATTCTTTTGCATATTGATATCAAGCACAGCGTGCTACAATGTTTTTATTCTTAGACACTAGAGACTTACGACCTGCTACACAAAATTCATTAATCGAAACAAAAGTTATCTGCGAACAGTTGCCCACATCTGTAAACCTATAAAGCCAACCTCAAGAGTTAGCCGTAATCACCATTGCTTTGAGTCATCTTTGGAGCAGCCTAGGTAATATTTCACTATATTTTTTGGACGTAATTGACACTGTGTCATTATTGAGATCTTGACACTTGTTGGGATTGAAGACCGTTGGTCAGGTGATTGCGGGTAAACATAACATTTCGAGCTTCAACCCTCCACCATTCCACCACGTCATTCTTTGAATTTGACCTTTTGAGGGTGACCAGCTATCTGTATTGACAGAACTGCCCAATATGGATCCGAGCTACAAAGCTCGAAAAGAGGCCTTTGTGTCTAATCTTGCGGGAAGCACAATCCTCGAGATCAATGCAGTCACACTCGTTGCTTCAGTGAGGAACCTCGCAACTTTACCTTGCAATTGACACATTCTGACCTGTTACCCCTCTAGACATCTGTCCTCCTTTGGTCCGCGCTCCAGTCCCGCTTATCTTTCTTCACGCCGTACGGTCCTGCGGCACTCGCGACCGACTTCATCCTCAATGTACTAGCCATCTTATTCGCCACGACTGCATACTCCTCCGCACCGCTTCTCCTCAACATCTTCCTTCTTTCGCCCGCGGTCCTCCTATTCCTCACCCGAAACAGTCTGCGCACACCCCAAAAAGCCAAACCGCCCCGCAAATCCAAGGCCAAAAATGAGAGCTCCCCGGAAGAACAGCAGGCCTTGCCAATCCACCCCTTCTTGACCACATACCGCGCAGCCATGATGATTGTTACCTGCATAGCTATTCTCGCCGTCGACTTTCGCGCGTTCCCACGTCGTTTTGCCAAAGTGGAGAACTGGGGAACATCTCTAATGGACTTGGGTGTAGGGTCTTTTGTGTTCTCCGCTGGAGTAGTCTCTGCGCGCGCGGTTTTGAAGGGCCGCAACTCGAAATCCCCGAGATTAGCTTTGCATAAGAGATTGATGGGGTCGGCTCGGCACTCCATTCCTCTGCTTGTGCTAGGCCTCATCCGACTGTGGAGTGTCAAGGGATTGGACTATGCGGAACATGTGACGGAATATGGTGTGCACTGGAACTTTTTCTTCACGCTTGGGTTTTTGCCTCCTTTTGTGGAGCTATTCGACTCCTTGACTACACTGATCCCCTCCTATGAGGTACTTGCGCTTGGAATTACAGTGCTCTACCAAGTCGCTCTAGAGTCGACTGATCTCAAAGGTTACATTCTCGTCTCTCCTCGGGGACCAGATCTGCTATCCAAGAACCGCGAGGGAGTCTTTTCTTTCATTGGATATTTTGCGATCTTCCTCGCTGGACGGGGTGTTGGAGTCCGCATCATTCCTCGTGGTACCTCGGCCACAAAATCGCCCCAGAAGGCGCGGAGCTCTGTTCTGATGCGCTTGGTTCTGCAGGCAATGTTTTGGTCAACCATGTTCTTCTTTAATTCCACCTATGCATTCGGCTATGGTGCCAACATCCCAGTGTCGCGCCGACTGGCTAATATGCCATATGTGCTTTGGGTAGCAGCATTCAATAGTGCCCAGCTTTTCCTCTTCTGCCTGACTGAGACTGTGTTCTTCCCCACGGTCCACCGAGCGACTACCAAGGAAGGAGAGGCAGATCAAACGTCCTTCGCGACCAGTCGCATCCTACATGCCTTTAACCGCGGTGGCCTTGCCTTGTTCCTGATTGCGAATCTACTTACTGGGGCAGTGAACCTGAGCATTCCAACATTGGATCTCAACACGCCGCAGGCCATGGGTATTCTAATTGTCTATGCGGCAGTATTAACAGGTGCTGCTCTGGGGATGGACAAGTACAATATTAAGTTGAGTTTGTAGATATACTACCATAGATGTGTTTATTTAACATGAAACAAAACATATAAACATGTTGATATGGAGATATATATATTACCGACGTAGAAGCTTGTATGGAGTACGGAATAAATAGCCGCGGCATGTGATAAATTGGAGCAACATATGAGCTCCGAGAGCTGCGCCAAACCATTCTGCAACCAACAATATGTCCTCCAACGAACAGTCTTTTCTTAATTATCCCCCAGCACGTGAAGGTCCTAACGTGCCGTACAAATATGAAGACCAGGTCCTGCCGATCTTCCGCGGCACCCCCCTAACCATCGGCGCTACATTGTAAGTTACAGGAGAGTTAGAGTGAGTGATCGCAGCATTCAATGCTAATATCCCACTGTTTACGTTAGAATCCATAATATCGGGTTCATCCAAAGCCATTTCTGGCGCAATGCTGGCTTCGGTGTCATTCGTGAAATCTCCCACCTGGGCCAGTACGCCGGTCGCTACGATCCAACCGTTATCCCAGTCGACAATACCAGCCAGGCCGAGTCAGCAGCGAATGTCGCGTCTGCTATTGTGGAGCGCAGGAAGGGAGACCAGGGGTACTATACTTCCGCGGACTACCACGCGCTTTACTCGTCAGGGGAGCTGACCCCGACCGCTGTCGTCGAGACGCTCTTGCCTCTAGTCCGACGTGATACCCAGCCGCCCGGGAAGCACTCAACTGCGTTCCTTGAGTCTCAGGCCGAGTTGATTCGTGCAGCAGCGGAAGAATCTACGGAGCGATACAAGAAGGGCCAGTCTTTGGGGCCACTTGACGGCGTGCCGGTCGCAGTGAAGGATGAGGTGCACCTCACGGGGTATAAGCGCACGCTAGGCTCGAAGCTGGATTTCAAGCACGGTACGGATGCGACTTCGTGGTGTGTGAAGCAATTGCTGGATGCCGGAGCTATAATCATCGGAAAAACTTCCATGCATGAGCTTGGACTGGGTGAGTTCCCATTGGCCATGGTCGAGTTACCGTACCTAACACTCTTCAGACACAAACAATAACAATCCCAACTATGGAACACCCAGAAACCCCCACAATAAGGAGTATTATTGTGGCGGTTCCTCCGGTGGCTCTGGATATGCTGTCGCAGCGGGCCTTGTACCCATTGCGCTCGGTGCAGATGGCGGAGGTTCAATTCGTATCCCGTCGTCATTTTGTGGTATCTGGGGCCTGAAGCCTTCGCATGGCCGTGTATCCGCCGCGCCATCCCAAAGCCTCGCGCCCACTGTTGGTGTTATCGGGCCTATGGCTGCCAGCATCGATGATCTCGCCCTCGCCTATCGCATCATGGCCACTCCGGCACCAGCTTCAGAAGACCCGATTTCCTCGCAGTTCCCCTATCCTGCCCCCCCGCACCCTGACACTATGAGGACGAAGACAATTGGTATTGTGCGCGACTGGATTAACCGTGCCGAGGGCTCTGTACGCGCCGTGTTTGATCGGGCGCTCGACTACTACCGTGAGCAAGGCTACAGCGTTATCGATATCACAATTCCTTACCTGCCGGAAAGTCAGCGTGCCCACGCTCTTACCATCATGGCGGAGATCGCATCTGGCATTGATGCAAGCAAGATCCGGCAGCTCACAGCGCCGAACAAGGTGCTTGTCTCTATGGGGATGTACCAGATCACCGCACAGGACTTACTCGCCTCCCAGCGGCTGCGTAATCTCCTCATGACGCATCTGGCTCATCTCTTCAAGACCCACCCTGGGCTGCTCATCTTTTCACCCACAACGCCCATCCCTGGATGGCATATTGACGGCGGTCAGGCGGACTTGTCTCACGGTTTGTCGGATAGCAAATCCTCTGTGCGCAATATGGAATATGTTTGGCTCGCCAACTTTACTGGCTGTCCTGCCATCAGTTGTCCTGCTGGTTATACTCCGGATGGCGGTGTGCCTATTGGGGTGATGGCTATGAGCGAATGGGGGAGCGAGGAAGAGCTGATCGCCTTTGCTCGAGATGGAGAGCCAATTTTAGATTTGCCTAGTACCAGTTCTTTGCTCGAGGAGAATCGAATTGCCTCGGCAAGTAAGGGTCTGCAAACTCCTTCTGATGACCTCTCTGTATGGGAAGATATTATCGCACAGGCCAAACAGAATATATCTAACTAAGGAATGTTTTCATCAACTGTGGCAGGTTGATGTGTCTTTTTGTGTTTTTTCTTTTTTTCATTCATTTATTTTAATGTATTTATCTACACGCCACGATGAGATGGCTTTTCCCTCATTTGTACACTGCATAGTGAACTACCATGCCAGTACTATAACCATCGTCATGGCAAACAGAAACAGCTTCTACCTTTCTCCCAAATTACCAATTTGGAGTGGCAGTCTAATCCCCCTCTTTTATGGCCTTTTTTCATTTTAGGTTATTAAAAGGCATGAAAGGTGGTATATATATATTACATTTATATATTACATTGAACATATGAAAGGTGGCATAGATGTATTAAGTGATTACTTAGGTGACTACATATATAAAACCATTGAAAGATGTGATTAAACCCCATGTATTTCAACTCGTTAATGACCAGCCCTTTGATAACCCCCACGTGTATCTTCCCAAAGTGGTCCTTGGCTGTTCTCGTGGGTCACTGTGTCCTGGGAACATGGTTATTTTCAAGTTACGAAGCAAGGAAGAGGCTGCAGAATGTAGATCTATCCTTATATGGTCTATTGGGACAAAGAGACAAGTTTTACTCTGCAAGTCCTTGCGTGCATCAATGGAGATTTATTACTTGGAACACAAGGACCTGGGTTATGTATCTTATGACCTGGAACAATTTCTATTGTATATTCCGTATTCAGGATATGTTCAGGATTATATTCAGGATATTTTCATATAGATCAATCATGAATATATGTCAAGTGATCAACATGTAACCCGAATAATTGGATCTCCCGGTTACCCGGATGTAAGAGTAGCGTGGCCGGTGCAGGTTCCCAGCTCCCTGCTTCCCTGCATACGATCTGCATTCTAGAAATTCCCCTTCATCTTCGAAATATAATAAAT